CCGTTATGTAATCTTATATGCACAAATGTCCCGTGATTTGCATATCCTGGTCAAACTCAAATAACTTAAATCAATACTTAAATTTGTAAAAAAAAAACAACTAAGCAAACACTGGACTTCTGCCAAACATACAAATAAAGCCAAGTACACATTCTAAAAGCACCAATGAGAGTCATGTATAACAATAAAGTGGTACTAAACTAGACCCCCTACTCACATTGTGGTATTAATATTGTGATATTGTTGATATCACTTCTTCTTTGTTTTTATTTAGAAAACAGAAACATCCAATTAACATCACAAGCAACATAGTTTAAAAACCTAAGCTGTCTTTACTTCCTGCATTTCTAAAGAGCGATAGTGGATTGTAATTGAAATTAAAGCTGCTATTTTCAATTCTAAGGTTAAGTCATAAGCACAGAAAAAAAAAGTACCGGGTAGTACAGTGCCTATTGACAAGCTGTGAGAGAAGATACGCAGTAACTGTTACGAAATGAGCTCTTCAGAAGAGATCATCGTGGCAATGATCACAATTCAGATGGTGTATTAATGATGATGTAATGATTAGAGGGGAAAGAAGCGATTGGTGCCAGCAGATGTCTAGCCACCCTGCTGGAACAGCAGAGTGCCCACAACACCGGGCCCTGCTGGGAGAAACAAACAGTGCTCTTATTGTGGATCAGTCTCTCTGCCCACCAGGCTATTGGCGCAGCCTGTGCCCAGAGGAGCTGGGAGAAAGCACAGAAACCAGGAGAGAGAGAGGGAGGGAGGGAGGCGCTGCTTGCCGAGCCCATGAGAGAGGCGATTGTATCCGATCCTGGTGATAACAGGTCTGTGAATGCAGCTGCTGGCGGGGTGGGAGGAGGGGAGGAGAGGGGTTGAGGGGGGTTACAGAGAGGGGCGGAGGCTATCCCGGAGATCTATGGAGGGCAGCTGGGCTTGAGATCGAAAAGGCTCGGAGAGAGGAAGGGAAGGCGGGGAGGGCCACGGCTCAGTTTTACCTCCGTCAGCCTGCGTGTGTGGGTTTGCAGCTGCAGTTGCCGTGTGCGGTGATGTTCTTAAAAATGCATCTTTCTTCTGGGGATGGGATTCTGTTTGCAAAAAAAAATCTGCATCCGAGGGCTTGATGCAGAGCGAACATCGTGCATGCTCAAGAACCACAGCAGGTTGCAGTATGTGGTTAACGTGTCATTCAGGAGCGATGTGCCTGTGTTCCAATTAAGATGAAAGCAAAAGTAGGGGAATAGCTGCAATTTGGCTGTGTGCAATGGTCTATTTCTGACTGCATTACAGTGTGAACTGTTCGGTTGCCCAGGTAAACAGTTGGTCATTGTACAGGCTGTCTGTACCATGTGCTGATTCTAAAGGTGGAAGTGAAGTTGCTCAGTTCTGATATGCAGTATTTATATGCAGTGTTTATTTGGTATCATATTCTATGTTTTTTAAACCAGCCTGCCTACATAGAGTTACCCTTATATTTGATACAATGGAAGAGGAGACAAAAATGGTCCAGGACAGAATCTGAGAGAGTTCTGGTTTTATCATTTGACCCTCTTTCGGGCCAGTCAGTTTCTCTGTCTCTTTAAAGCACCACTACCTGCAGAGCTGGGAGAAGCTGTTTAACTGGTCCAGTTAAGCAAATAGTGATCTGATTCAGGTTGCTAACAGCCTAGCTGGGGTTGAAACCTGTAAGCATACCGGCCCTCCATGGCCAGGATTGGAGATGGGACCTGTACTGTCTGAATGCACTTGGATTGCATACTCTCCTTCGGAGCAATACGGCTCAGAGCTGTAGTTGTAGCTGCTGTGTGTACTGTACCTTAGTGATTTGAATTCTTCAGAGTGTAACTAGAAGTCTTCTCATGCTAATCCTACAAAAAGCATAAATGCATCAAATCAGTGCTACTTACAGTAGCCATAGTCCTGGTACAGATCAGGTTATCAAGCAGATCTTGTCCCTCCTAGGCCCTGCTTGTAGCCATTACACTTATACTTCTTTTAAATATAGTACAGTTATATAATGTCCATATTTGACTAGCACTGGCACACAGATTCTGGACAACAAGTACACTGAGTATAATATATGAGGGAACATATCAGAAACCTCAAAGACACTATCAGCTTTCAAGCACGAAAGAACAGATCTTGTATCTCTGATAAGAACAGAGTTACAAGTTAAAATTATTTTCAGTGCTGTATAGATCATCCTATTACTTAGGCATGACTAGGCATGTCATGTTTAGCTGCAGTCAAAAAGAAGAGTAATTTTTTTTTTAATTTGCTGGAAAATATCCAAGGAAACAGTTATTCCAAATATTACGTCTTAACTATAAATGTGCATCATTGTTTCTTTACAAATGTAGCCGTGTGATGCTTGATTGAGCATGTCTGTCCCTAAAGAATATTCTGCATTCATATTGTGCTTGTGAACCACACAGATAGAGCTCCTTGCAGATCAGCTTAACTATTGCTCTCCTGCAGCTCATCAGCATCCACAGCAGAGCTTAGCAGGGCACTTGCATGGGCTGTGCTGCAGATCAGTATCTGCAACAACCTGCTTAAACCTCTGGCTTTCTCCTTAATAGCTTCTCCTAGCTCCTCAAGTGCTACTTATTTTAAAAGACTTTGAAAACCTGCAGGCACACAGACCCTCCAGAGCTGAGCACTCCTGTCATAAGGTCGGCCCCTCCCACCCCATGTCATCAGTGGTGCACATTTGCCCTCACCTTGCATCAGACACGGTGGTGTTGCATACAGTGCACGCCTGTCAGGCTATACCAGCTTATCGTTTAAAAAGGCTACTGCTGCCACTGTGTGCTGTTAATAACTCAGCACCACAAGCTGAGAAACGAAACCAGACGAAGCCATTGATCACACCCTGTGATCACTATGAAAACTGGCCTTATTTTGGAAGAGGGCCTTCCCACATCATAGTCAGCTGGCTTTCAAGTTCTGTGCTCCAGTCCCTCTTAGACCAACCTCAAGGATTTTCTCTCTTTCTGCTAAGTTTGCAGAATTCTCCTACCAAAGATCATGTGATAGAACTTCACTTATTCAGAGTTTCCTGACTAGAGACTTTGTAGGTGCATTGGCACACGTCTGAAAAACGAAATGACGTGGCTGGGACAGCTTCATCCATGATGGACCTGTGTTGAGTACTTAATCAATTTGCATGAAGGCTCTACTTTTTGTGCTGTGCTGCATTCTGTGAGAGATTTAGACGTGGCAAACTGAAGTGCTATGAAGCGAATATTGAATGCCAATTCCTTTTTATCCGAGACGGGAGAGACGGAGGGAAATTTGTTATCAAGAAAATCGAATTCAAATGAGAGGTTTTTCCACTAACTGTAAAAAACAATACAAAGTCAGAGAGGTATTAGACCAGGTAAAAAAAAGCCAAACTCTTATCATCCCGTAACAGAGAGGAGTTTTATGAAAAGGTAGGTCGCATGTACAGTAGGTAATAAAAAAACAGGTTAGGTAATAAAAATAATTCTAAAATAACTGAGTATGAGTGTGCAGGTTTAATATGGAAACAATAAATGACAGGGTTTGTACTGTACTTTATGTAGCACTTACGTACTGTATTTAGCATATAGGATGGATCAGTTAAAGCTACACAGCATTTTTTTTATTTTAAAGATCTGACTGCCATTTGACATACTGTATACATTCCTTCTCGCTTTTCTTTGTTGTTAAAGTCTTTTAGTACAGCCCTTGTAGTACACATGTAGTACAGCTCTGAATGATTTAGCAATCTGCTCATGTACGTGTAAGACAAATTGCATTTCAGGATGCCTCATTACTGAGAGATACCTGTGTGGCTTTAAGGTTAACTTTAACTGTGGAATCCGACACGGACACGGGCAATTACAAACTAGCAATGCACGATTCTTTTTTTAACTGGAACTACAACTCAAGCCTCCCACACTTAATTTCAAAGTTAATTTAGACATTATTTCTAATACTGCTAATATTTCAAACATCTCAGTCATGAAATGATGTACTTTGCTGCAGTTGAGTTTGCTTATTATATCATGTGTTCTGTGTGTTATGCTTACTGGTCTGGACTCAAGTAGACATTTTTATGTTATAACGGCAGTAAAAAGCAATGCCTGCATATACAGTATCTGTTGTGTGTCTGGTCACTGCAGGCGGCTGTTTGTGGCCTTATGTTAGCCTTTGTTCTGGTACGATCTCTTAAGGTACTCCATCTTTTTTCTCCTCCCTTTCTGCTTTTTCAATAAGCCTTGGGTTTTTCTTCACAAGGCCGCACTTGACCCAAAAGATTGCTGGAATGCTGGGACATAACCCACTTTCTGAGGTGCTGGCAGGGACCGCTGCAGAAGGCACAGCTCAGTGATTATTCTCAATGTGTTTCACACACCGGTTTTCACAAACATCAACTGAAAACTCTCCAGGTATAAGTTTTGGAGCCTTCTCTGCTCCACCCTGGACATGTTCTTGTAAAATTATCTGCATTCTGCAGCTGTTTCACCGGTCTTCAGACCCGCGATTTGTGTGCAGTATGGAGTGAACGGCCTTATGGGAAATGAAGCTCAGTGTTTGTCATTCAGTGTTGCAAAACACTGACTGTGGCAGAACGGTTAAAGACCATCTCCGCTTTTTTTTTTACTTTGAAAAACAAAACGCGTTTAAAATCTTTAAATCTATACAGTTATGTTTACATAGGTGTCATTAAAAGCCTTCTGGAGTAAACCGTTTTAAGTTATATGTTCAATTAGGGGAACCTCCTATTAGCAGATCCTTTCTCTGGGCACCGTAGCCTCTCCTGGAACAACAAGGGTTAAGCACAGCTGCCCGCCCCTCTCAAGTTCCAGAGCTCAGGTGGGTGACATTTAAAATTGAGGAGGAGGGGGTGACAGCACTAGAAATGCCCTGGCTGGGCCCTTGGTCATTTTTGTCGCATGACACTGTTTTGTGCCTCAGCAGGCTGCCTGACGCACTGTCTCTGTCGGTCTCCCTCTCTCCCCCCGCAGACAAGCTGTTTGGGAAGAAGCTCCTGCAGGCTGGCCGTTACATCATGTCCCACAAATCCTGGATGAGGACTGTACCCACGGAGAACTGTGACGTCTTAATGACTTTTGCAGGTGCTGTGAAGGAGGTCCTCTTTATAGAGTCTCTCTTTCTCACCGTACATTTCCATATCCTCTTCTGTGTTCCCCACTCTATTTCCGTTTCTCTCTTTCAAACCCCTTACCTTTCATGGTTTGTCATTTCTCTAACCATTGCTTCTCCTTCTTGTTCTCCTGTTTGAATTCTCTGCACACAAGACCTCTGTGGCTCTCTGGCCTGAAAGGGTCTGATTTCATGCCGTTGCTTTTGTCTCTGCGTTTTCCTTGCTGAAAGTGACGTGGCTCACACTTGCATGCATGCAGTCAGACATGCATACAGGATGCTAGTGCACAGCGAAATGAGATTCCAGCTTTGGTTTCAACACATGTAGCACTAAATGAAATTCATATCTTTTTCGGATGCAGGATTTCTCCGAACAAGTAGACCGTTGCCATTTGTCCATGCGTTCCTTTCAAAATAAGTACCTTTTACTTACTACGTCACACAAATCTACAGTTTTTGGTTGATAGCCGTTTTGTCAAGTACTATTCTGCAGTATAAGTTAATGGTCGTCAAACTGTAACAAAAACATGGAATGGCAAACCACTTTGGATGACTGTCTCACTTTCTATTTAATTGAACCGTTTTAATTAGGAGGGTGTCCTTCGCACCACACTTGATTTATCCTGCGGGGAGCTCCGACTAAGACTCCTACTCTGCCCTGTTTCCGTTTTGCAGACACCACGGATGACCACACGCTGCTATGGCTACTGAACCACATTCGGCTGGGGATCCCGGAGCTCATCATCCAGGTTCGACACCACAAGCACACGCGCGTCTACGCCTTCTTCGTCACGGCAACCTATGAGAAGTGAGACCCTGGGTTGGAGGGGGCGGGGTTGGGGGCGGGGGGGGCTGGTGGCTTGTGGGAGGGGTTAAGAGGAACTGGTACTCCACAGCTAACCAGGAAGAGAGGGCAAATGGTACAGTGCCACATGCCAGGGTCAGCAACAAGCAGAGTACTAAAATAAGTCTAATGTGAGACGTGCAAAGCTAAAGTTTTATGATGTACAGTGCAATGGTGTGTTCTGAGGATGTATGTGTAGCACAGGCCCTGTATCAGTACAGGTGTGCCTGTCTAGTCACTGAGTGTAATTGTTTCACATGGGCGTTCCAGACACACACTGCTTGTTTACCTGCCTTTTTCCACACTAAGCCTATAGTACCTGTGAACATTACTGAACCCCTCCCACATTCCTGGTCTGAGCTCTAGTGACTCACTGTTCAAAAGGGATCGGCAGTTAACCTGAACATGACTGTTGCAATGAGAGTCACAGTATGTGTCAATCTGTGATTCAGGGGAGGGATAGGGCTGGAAAGTGCTCCTGTCAAACGCTACATCTTGTTTATTTTCTCAGTGCCATTCCTTCCCTGGTGAAGGAGCCCCAACATCTTTCATACATAAAAATTCCAAAAGGCCTCATTTGCAGCACATTTCTCAAAACAAGAATGTAGCTACTGTATAAGGTAGTGCTTTCTAGTATGTTAGACATCAGTGCCTTCTTTTGAAGACTGAGCTGGTGCTGAAACATGGACATTGAATTCCCACAAGGCATTGGGGTAGCAGAGACACGGGGACAGCACATGGCTCTAGATTGCTGAATTGACTTTTCCTGAGCTGTTAAGAATCTCCAGTGTTTTCCTTTTTGCTAAAGTCTGCTGCGCCTGAAACCCTCCAATTCCTTTCTGTCTGCACAATTGAATTAAGGCAAATGAGGCATGGAGTGGTACAGGGAGGAGTAAGTGATTTCTGTACTGAGTGCACTAGCAGCCCAGGAGGGAATTCTACATCAGAGCTTTGTAAAATACCAGCAGTGCCACACCCCCTGTCCCCCAGGAGGATGCATAGGACCATGCTCCATTGTGACTGATTTCTGTTAAGGGCCTTTTGTGCTTTAAATAAAAAAAGTGCTAGTTTTAATAAAAAAGTGTTAGTTTTCTTTTCCATTTTATGAATGCTTGTTATGCAAGGAAAAGGGAGAGATGACAGCAGCCTCTGAATGAAAGAGGAAAGGCAGTGCAAAATGGGAAAGTGTTTTTATTGTATTTACAAGAAAGGCAGGGTATTTATCTAGCACAGCCAAATGCTGAAAGACAGGCGGGTACCTATTTTTAAATTGATGTTTAGGTTCTAGGTGTCAGTGGATCATTAAGGGGTGGATCATTTGTGCTTGAGGATGTGGTCCCTTTTCATCCAGTACTTGATGAGGTCTTGACTTCACCTGATCGCCATTGTAGTGCAAAGTGCTCTTTAGAGTGACGTACTCTATCTTCATTCACTCTGGCTCTTGCAATTCGCTCCAGGTGTCTCAGACCAAGGAGAGAGCTGGTGAATCCAGCTCACTGCCTGATCAACTCGCTGCCCAATCAGCGGAGACAAATCAGCTCTTCCTGTCACTGGCTGCCAATCACATCGCCTTGACTGCAGGCGAAGTTTGGCTCATGTTCCAGGCTTCTCCCTTATGCAACTCTGAAATGATGACTTTGCTGCCTTGGAAGGCAACCCAGGACTTTCAGAAACCCCCTTTCCCTCTGCCGTTTCTACTCATTCATCTGCCATTTAAGCTCCTCTCTCCTTGTTTTCCCCATGGGCAAACTATGGGCAAATTGCCCATCTAATTCATTTACTGTGTGATGGGCAATTTGCCCACAGTTTGCCTGCAGTGAATGTCATGCTCTGTTTGTTTCATGGTTAACCTTGCTGTTCAGTCTATCCATGAACCCCCACTATTCTGAGACCAAAGCGATGTACCATTGAAAATAAAGTCAACTTCAAGATTAGGGCTATAAACTGTTTCCTTCTAAGGCAGATCAAGTCTTGGCAATGTGGCACTCCTTCAGATTAATAGCCAGCCAAGGTTTTTTTTCAATTACAATAATGGAAAAGAATAAATTAACCATATATCTTTTTAACTGGGACACCTCAACCTATTTAAAGCTTAAACTTGCTGACTCAGGTGTTTGCATTTTGTAGAATTCCTGGTAACTGGATTATTCCCTTTGTGAAAGCTTTGGATGTGTTCTGTTTACCTCTCTGATTAAGAGTGATGATCTGAAAAGAAAGCTTTTTCAATATCGCAGCAGACACGAGAAAAAATAACAGATGTGGGTGGAGGTTAAATTGTTTAATAGTTTGATTGCCTAGAGTGATTAAACTTAGAACTTGCACTGAGTTCCACATGAAATTTAAAAACGCTGTTAGTGAATTGTGCCGGACTCTCTAAGGCTGCCTGAGGGAGCATTTGCAGATGTGTGGCAATGCGATTTATTATAATTTATTTATTATTTTTTAAATAAAATAGATTGAGGCCAAGGTGGGCACTTTCGAAGTTGCTCATCCGTTAACATCACAAGAGGCATGCAAGAGCTAGGTTTTTATTTCCAGCCATTGTTCTATTTACCTTACACAGAAGGGTTTGCACATGTCATTGTTTTCAGGCACAGCTGTAGAAAAACAGCCTCTGGAGGGGGATTGGTTAATGTTTCAGAGGTAGAACAGATGGTAAACAGCCAGCGTGAGCTGTGGTATTCTCTCACTGTTGCCGGGCGAGGGAGCAAGCACGATATGCCCTACAGGTGAAAACAGCACAAATTCTGGACAGGAAGTCATTGTCAATTTACACAAGACAGTCCCACTTTAAAAAAAAAATCCACCCCAGTAGAATTACCTGGATCAAGAGCCTCACCCTATGTTAGTGATTATTACAACTTCTTAATAAACTCCTTGCAAAATAATTTTAGTCTTGCGTGTCCATGTTATTACTTGCACATCATATAAAATCAGGTATTTAGCAAACACTAGTGTTTTTGGTCAGAAGAAAAGTTAAATTCTTTTTAGCTGTAAAATAGGGATATGAGGCATTTTATCAGTAGTTTTCAGCCATTGTTTTTCATCCTATGTTACTGTATGTCTGGTTACCATTTCTTTCTCAATGAAAATAAATAATTTAGAAGCTACGGATCTAGAGTCAGCCGTTTGACTCACTGTAAACTCTACAGTGCCCTACAGGAGAGCTAGTGCTGATTGGCCAGGCTCTGTGTCTCTCAGTGACATCGCTACGAACCTGCCGGTGCTCAAAGAACCAAGAAGATGCTGGCCAGCTGATCCTCTGGCAGCTGGTTCAGCATCACCCTTTAACGAATGAGCTGGTAACATGACAAACTCCCACTAGCGCCACCTGGGCCTGTACTGGGAGTGCTGCTCTGGTCCCTCTTCTGGGAATCCCTTCCTGAGACCTGAGGGGTTCACTTACTGACTCCACGTGCTTTCAGGTCACAGAAACCAAGGATCTGCAGGTCTCTGGCTCTCTATGCGTGTCATTGCCTTGATCACCTAGGTGGGTAGAGGCGAGCCAGCAGGGTGGGCTGGAAACTGTGTTGAAGTCCTGCTTGCTTTCCACTCCCCCCAGTTTGCTGCGCGGCGCAGAGGAGGTTGGGCTGCGCAAGGCCGTCAAACCGGAGTTCGGCGGGGGGGCACGCTGCTTCTCCTGTGAGGAGGACTACATCTACGAGAACATCGAGAGCGAGCTGTGCTTCTTCACCTCGCAGGTGAGACACCGGCTGCCACCCGCCTCCCTTCACCCTCCTCAGTCACGCGGACAGCCAAACGAGTAGCCTCTTGACACAGGCTGTACCTATATACAATACAATACAATAAATAGTAATATTGTAACATCTCACGAATCTCATGCTGTTAATTGTTAGTTTTTTTTTTTAATTCTGGGGAACTTTTAAGTGAGAAAGTCTGATGGATTTGTGGCACAGTTAAGTGTTACAGTTTCACACCTCATGTGTGATTCACGCTCTGACAGGAAGTCTGTCTCATCATGTTTCACAGGTGTCCCCCAAAATCAAAACCCTGCACCGTTTATACTTTCAGGACAAGCCAGGGAGTCCCCTGTAAACCTCCACAGGAAAATAAACTGGTTTTACAAGCTGGAAAGTTGTGCGCATGCATGCGTGCGCTCTGATATTGCTCTGATATGTCCTCTGTTCACAGGAACGTCAGAGTATCATCAAGTACTGGCTGGACAACCTGAGAGCCAAGCAAGGAGAAGCCCTGCACAACATCCACTTCCTGGAGGGGCAGCCAATCAGTGAGCGGCGCTTTTTGATCAGCAAAGACCCATTTATATGTGAAACTCCCATTGCTTCCGTTTAAAGTCTGATTCGTCTCCCAGTCTGTATTCTGAGGGTGAAACTCAGCAGCTATGGAATTCTCTGCTTGATCACGTTAGAGGTTCACTCATAGTGGCTATCGAGGCTTGAGACCTATATTTATTATTTAGCTTTCTGATTGTATATATTGATCAGATGTTATTTAAACCACTTTATTCAGTATTACGTGAGTTTTCTTACGGTCTTTTGTTAGCTCATCCTTTTATTTTGTTTGTATCTGCCTCTTGACACCATGTGAAGAGCCTTGACTCGACTGGCTCTGAAAGGCACTATATAAATAATTTGTATTGTATTGCACAATTCCTGGAAGGAAACGGGGAAAAGTAGGATAGTGAAGGGATAGCATGAGGAGGATAGCCACAAGTGACTAGAGCAGAAGAAATGGGCAGGGTGTAGGCCTGTGGAATGCAGTGATTGGTGGGAAAACTGGAAGATGTGCATCACGTTTTTTGCATAAACAGAATTAGTGGCAGGATGGGCCTTAGCCATTTTGTATGTGAGAGTGCACCCAAGGCGCTAAAATCAGGCAAAGTGTCATTAGCGGCAATTCGAGTTTAACTTCAAGAGGAGGTGTCCAGCTTTTATAGGCAGAAAAAAGTACCTGCATGACACTGAAACACCCCCTGCCCTCTTTCCTCCTCTGTGCCACAGTCCCGGAGCTGAGTGCGAGGGGCGTCATCCAGCAGGTGTTCCCCCTCCACGAGCAGAGGATCCTCAGTCAGCTGATGAAGTCCTGGGTGCAGGCAGTCTGCGAGAAACAGCCCCTGGGTCAGTATTCCTCAAGACCCGTGTCTTCAGGGTGTGGCCTGCTGTGCTCGCACACCGGGACAGCGTGTCTGTGGGCGAGGGAAGGAGCTGCGATCACGTGCCTTTCTCTTGTGAGACGATTCCACAGTTCAGGAGGTCTCCATGCTGGAAATGTATGATTAGCTTGAGCTGGCTCCCTTGGCCTTGACACATAGTGCTTTCAGGGGGGAGATTGTCATTTTAAACATTTCATACATCCTTCACTTGTGCAGGCTGTGCTGAATAGCTCATTCATGTTAACAATGAGCTTTGTGAACTTAGTTAAGCATTTCCGACCACTCACATATTTGTATATATCCAGCCATCGCTGGTTTAGGAGCTACAGCACATGCAACAGGCCGCCATTGTTCTGTCCAGTACTGTTGTGTCCCAAGACCCTGAATAAAAGCTCATTATTATTATTATTATTATTATTATTATTAATACTAAAAGCTTTATTTTATATAGCGCCTTACAAGGTGGCTTCTCAAAGAGATTTGCAGAAAGACAGCAACACTAAAAGAATACACAAGATGTGCACAATGAGAATACACAATGAGAGGAGACCTTAAATTGTTTCTGTGGCATTCAGGATCAAAGCAGATGATACTGTGGATTGTTTCTCTCCCCTCATTTGCCTCTTTCTGTCACCTCTGGCCTGGCAGACGATATCTGTGATTACTTTGGGGTGAAGATTGCCATGTATTTCGCCTGGTTGGGCTTCTACACCACCTCCATGCTTTACCCAGCTGTGATTGGCTTTGTGCTGTGGATGCTAACGGAGTCAGACCAGGTGAGGGCCACGTACCACTTCACTCTGAAAGAGCCTGCCCTTCTGCCATAGAGATGGTACTGTACTGCATATCTCATCCTGGGTCCTAAAGATGTCACTTTTCTTCATATGCTTGATGAACGGTAAAAAGGTTACAGATGAGACAGTGGTGTTTGATATTAGCTTGTCTGGTTGTAGTGGCAAGCTGACTCAAGGATCTCACCCAGACGCTTCTTTTGAAAAGAGCTAGGATAACAGCTTCTACCATGTGGAATGCTCTTTATTTCCACAACCCCTGTGTGTAAGAAGAAGCACCTTGTGTTCTCAATTTTAAATGCACTTCACTTTTTCAGCTTATCTGAAAAACAAAACCTGAGTGTGCATTCAGGATTTCCCCCCCTAAAGCTGGCATGATAAAAGTTCAGTTTATAAATGAAATGGACAGGCAGTGGACACCTTGCATAATGGACGCTTCCTTCCTAGACAAGGTTAATGCAAGAGATGGGAGAAGCAGGTATATTATAGGATTGCCTGTGTGAAACCACAAGAAAAACATGCTTGTTTCGCAACATTGCACACCTGGATTCCCTGATGCATTCATTTTTTTCTTTGTAGTTATGGATGGTTACCATGTGTTTTCTGTGTGCTGTGGGTGGTCATGTGTTTCAGACGAGCCGTGACATCTGCAGTGTGGTGTTCGCCCTCTTCAACGTCGTCTGGGCCACTCTCTTCCTGGAGAGGTGGAAACGCAGGGGGGCAGAGCTCGCTTACAAGTGGGGGACGCTGGACACGCCTGCAGAGTCCCTAGAGGAGCCCCGCCCACAGTTCAGGGTAATGCAGACTGTCATGCTGCTCTGCGTGTCTGTGGCAGTATGAGTGGACTATTCCACCTGTCAGTGTGCGTGCAAGCTTTATTGATTTTGTGTGAAAGAGAAAAGGGGAACGAGCTATAAGGATAAGCAAGTGTGAATAGATCTGGCTTTCCGCTTTTTTAAACAGTGCCTTTGATTTTGAGTGATTACTGCTCTTGACTGGTGGTTGCAAACAAGTTGAGCATCATGTGTAAGAAACCTGTAATGTAACCTTAATTGGCTCTTTCTGTGAGATTGTTTGCATTCATGTATGTCAGCGTAATGTCTATAGGATGTGCCTGGGTGTAAATGCCCCAGTGTGGGCTGTGCTGTGTTTGTCAGGGAGTGAAACGCTGCAGCCCAGTGACAGGCTGTGAGGAATTCTACTACCCTCCCTGGAAGAGGATGGTGTTCCAGTATCTGGTCAGCCTACCAGTCTGCCTCTTCTGCCTCTGCTTTGTCTTCCTGGCTATGCTCATCTGCTTCGAACTGCAGGTCAGTCTAGTACTCCTCCAGGTAATCAATCAACCAGTTGACCATCTAAGAGGGCATCAAAAGCGCCAGTCAGTGGGTAATCTCTCTTCAGCCCATGAGGTCTCAGAGTTAGGAAACCTGTAATCACACTGGACCTATATGGGATACTAAGGAACAACAGTATACAACAGCTATTCCATGCTGAAAAGAAAAGAAACACAACGTTTTGGCTGTGGAGCCTTCTTCTGGTGTCCTGTATAGGATACTGATTGACTAGCTCTTTGAAAGTATCTCAATCAAGCTTATTCATATACAGTTCTTCTTGAAATGAGCACAATCATGAAAATAATAAGTATGACAGTGGCCTACAGTATGTGTATCAAACACATGTTTTGGGATGGGCTCGTCCTTATGTAGCTTCAATTTAATACAAATGGACGTTTAACCTTCAGGAAATGTGTTCAACCGGCCATGGTTTTTTGACATTAGAGAGCACTGGCCCAGCCAGGAGAGGCTCTGTAGCTGCTAGTATTTCGGTGCCGGTGATCCTGTATGAGTCTCTCTTCCCCAGGAGTTTGTGATGGGGGTCAAGGAGCTTCCTCGTTTTGCCAGGTTCATTCCCAAGATTATGCTGGCCGTCACTGTGACTGCCTGTGATGAGGTGTACAGGAAGATCGCCTGCTGGCTCAACGATATGGGTGGGTGATGTTCCTGATGTTCCTTCATTCTGGCTGATGGAGGCGAGTGGCCTGTGTTGTTGGTTGACGTTAGTCACACACACTTGTTAATCTAAGTAAACGGCATGTTTTACAAGAACGTTGAGTGGGAGTTATGTGAGTGACTTGGTGGTGCAGTGGTTAGCATTTTTGCCTCACAGCTGGGGCCCTGGGTTCAGTACCTGGGGTGCTATATGTGTGGAGTTTGTATGTTCTCATCGTGTTTCCTCTGGGTGCTCCTGTTTCTTCCCACAGTCCAAAGATACCCCAGCTACTGGTAGAAGAATTGGCTTCAGGGAAAACTGTCCCTGGTGTGAAAGTGTAGGCCTGTGTTTGTGTCCAGTGTCCCATACTGGGTGTATCCTGCCTTTCGCATGTTGCTTGCTGGGATAGGCACTGGCTCTCCTGCGACCCAGAATTGGATGATATTTAGAGTAGTAGGTAGCAGGGGTGGAGCGTTGGCACTGTGGCTAAGGATCTGCGCCTGTGGCTGGAAGGTTGCCGGTTCAAATCCCACGGCCAGCAGAGGAATCCTACTCCGTTGGGCCCTTAACCCCAACTGCTCCAGGGGCACTGTACAATAGCAGACCCTGCGCTCTGACCCCAAGCTTCTCTCCCTGTCTGTGTGTCTCATGGAGAGCAGGCTGGGGAATGCGAAAAGACAAATTCCTAGTACAAGAAATTGTAAATGGCCAATAAAGTGATCTTAACACTGAGGAAGGCTGAAAAGACTGTCGGCTAATTTGTTTGGTGGGTTATTGCCTGGGACCTTCATAGCAGTGGCTTCATGAGGTTCTTTACCAAGCTCCTAACAAACCGATCACACATCATGGGCCTGTTTACGTTTCATTTTGTTCTCAAGTTTGTTTTTTCTCCTTTCTCGTTTCAGAAAACTACCGACTCCAGAGTGCCTATGAGAAAAATCTCATAATTAAAATTGTTCTAGTAAGTTTCCTTTCTCCACGGGTCAAGTCATCGAGCAGAAATTAGCTGTCCGAATGCTGCAGTTATTAAACCTGGAATGCTACACCTCTAATTTCACCTTGGACTTCCTACAAAAAATGCAAAATTCCAATAAAATCCCACTACAACTTTGATATTTCATGCTGCAAAACCTCGTTCAACTTGTCAGCAGATGTGATTGCTGGGATTTGTCTGAAACCACTTTGAAGCGACACTCTGAAGTGTAAGACTTTGCAAGAGCTGCAAGACGTCACTTTGCCTCGATCATAACCACTGCTTGTTTGTTCTTCTCTTGCAGTTTCAGTTTGTAAATTCTTACCTTAGCCTTTTCTACATTGGATTCTACCTCAAAGACATGGAGCGCCTGAAAGAGGTGAGAGGGACAAAGTCCCAGTAGCTCTTCCATTAGGATCAGACATGCGAGTCGGGCTTTAAGGAGGGGTGCTTATGCTTTATTCTCAAGTTAGTTAATAAATATATATTCATACTGCTCTGAGCAGCACCATGAGCTTCACCTAGCAGCTATTATGGTGCGCATGTAGTGCAAATCTTGTACCAAAAACACAAACATGTAAACAATATGTCTGCTATTGTATATCTTAAATCTATAAATAATGGTAGATCCTGCTTGTCTTTGTGGACTGGTATCTCAATGATTGCTTATCTGTTAGGTGCAGCCTAACAGATGAAATATATCAAATTTACATGCAGAAAAAACCCTGACTCCACTTCAAGGTTGCGTGTTTTGAGTATGCATCCGATACAGTTTATCCGATATTGTATGTTATTGATCCCACGTGAGTATCAATGAGGTGTTTCTCGCAGAATGGTTGAGACATTCTGATGGCGTTTCTTAGGTCTTCACAAACCTAAAAACTTTTATTTTTCGGTTCTGAGTTTTGTAATAGTGCAATTCCAGGGTTCATTTTTTTTCCTTTCACCATTAGAAGGACTTTATCCATTGTATCATTAAAATGATACTGTAGGTCGATTTGTTCATCATCCTTTTTTTTGCAAGATGCGTCTTTATTTTCTCTGTTTAGCACTGGGTGACCAATTAATTGAACCCAACTAGCCTTCAAGAGCTCACAGGTTCTGTTGAGTCTGACAGTTTAAATCTAGTCACTGCTGTAAACGTATTGCTCATAAACATAGGAGTTTTGGGATTTTTGTGAGAAACTATGACACTTTTTGGATTTATCAGCGAACCTTGATTTCCACCTTGATCTGTCCTTCACCTCTTTTCTCCTTTGTCCCTCGCTCTGACTGTCCATGCGTCTGTCCACTTTCTCCGCCCTGTCCCCCGCCCTCTCCAAGCTCCTGCTGGTCTTCTTGTCCCAGAGCTTTCTGAGGCAGATCAAAGAGAACCTCCTACCTTTCCTCCTCCTCAGGCTGCAGCTCCTGCTCATGTTCCCAAAGAGAGTCCTCCAGTCCCACTGCAGGTCTAAAGTACGGCCAGCCTGTCTCCCCTCTCCAGGGCCCCAGCATGAGGCTCACCTGCTTGCTCTGTCTGTCCGCCTGCTCGCTGAGCTTGGCAGCATTCAGTATTCCACTGGAATGCTCTCTAGTGCTCACAAACGCCAAGCAGTAATAACCATCTGTCTTTGCCAAGTCTGAGCATGGTTTGGAAGGGCAGAGAGAGATGAAAAGGAGTCTTTTGGGTTGTGTTTAATATTTTAATGCAGATCCTGATTGCCTCTTGTTCCACTGTAAATCTGTATATTGTCCTAAGGTCTGCTTGCCCTGCACTTTCTTGCTGAGCGCTGTCAGGGTCACCTTTCATGTTTCATCACGTTTCTCCTGCAGGTTGGAGAAACCAGCAGTTGAAATAGAATGCAAAGGTTTTGAGTGGATTTTGCTCACTTGTTGTTCTTTTTTGATACTGTATCTTCTTTTTGGTTCACTGTCATTTTTAAGAGGAGGCGGGGACTTTTTGTCCACTAGACCCTGATTTCCCCCCACACAGGACTCCAAAAGATAGGTACAGTTTGAGGAAATTGAAAAGGGGTCCCCTTTTGATGATGTCACTTCCTGTGCGTATCAATTTAGGAGCATTTCAGGGCTCGTAAGATGCATTTGAACTTTAATTGGTAACATTTCTCACATTTTGTCCCGGTGTATACAGTATATGGTTATCACAGGTTGTCAAGAAAAGCCCCTCATGCAAAGGTTTAAATAGCAGTTCATCGTATACATTAGGGGGCAGAGACTTATAATGTCTTTTCAAATTCAATGAGGTTCTAATTTAATGCCTGCCTTACTACATCTAAGATTTTGACAAGCCCTGTAGTGTTTTGTTTTTAAATGCCTTGCAGTGATTTTTGTGAGGACTAGCAGTAGTTGCTCTTGTTGTGTAACACAAAAGCCTGTCTTTGTTGCCTTTAGATCTGAACGTCTGAGCTGGTTTGCTGTGCTTTGTGCTTAGAGAAGCAGTGTGCCTTGAGCCTGAATGCAATCTATGTGTTGGGTACTTGAGTCTCTTCAGCTGAGTCCCTTTAGTGTTAGAAATCTTAATGCCATTAACAGTGTCTGATGCTTGTTGATGGCTGAATTTAGCTAAATGAATGTATGGTTAAGGCTTGTTAGTGTGTATATGGAATTAAAAAATGCCTGTAGTGAGCAAAGCTGAAATTGTTAGTTTCTTCAAACTTCAGAATGGTCTATGCAACTTTTAAACAAGAAATGCTTGGCATTTACGGTTTTTAAATTATTACAAAATATTAAAGAGCCCTCTCGCGGTAGTGCTGAAGTGGTCTTTTGGATGCTGTTGATATCCGTTGTTATTTTGTTTTGTTCCTCTCTTTTTTAGATGCTGGCCACTCTACTCATCATTCGCCAGTTCCTCCAGAACATCAAAGAGGTGCTGCAGCCTTATCTTTATGAGAGGCACAAGCTGGGAGAGCTCACGCTGAGGGCCGTGTGGGACCTCGTCCTGTCTGCCTTGCTCAAGTATGGGCGTCTGGCCGCAGGAAAGGCCCAGGCTTCGCCCTCGGAACAGGCCCCGCCGGGTCAGGGCCTGGGGCCGCAGAGCGGGCCGGTGAGTGAGAAGAAAGAGAAGAAGTGTCTGAACGGGGGCTGCGGCGTGCCGGAGGAGGAGGAGGAGGAAGAGGAGAGGCAGAGCGAGGGAGAGAATGAAGAAGAGAGCCTCATAGACTGCGGCTTGAAGCTGCGGAAGGTCAGCTTCATTGAGAAGGTGGACCGCAAGGCTGGGGCCATAGTGACACAGGTAGATGACAGCTTCCTGGAGGAAGGGAGCCCCACTATGGTGGAGAAGGGCATGGATCCTTCCTCCGTGTTCGAGATGTGTGATGATGATGATGACAATGGGGGACCCGAGACCAGGGAGACGCCGGGGGAGCCCCAGATCACCGCGCCCCTAGCGGCTGCGCCTGAGAGCACCATCTCATTTCGGAACAGGAAGAGGGGCCAGGGCGCCGAGAGGGAGGAGAGCAAGAGCAAGAGGGAGTCCTGGATCGACCCCCCAGAGGAGAACTACTCCACCCCCCTCACTCAGGCTGAGATCGAGAGCTGTATGAAGAAGTACGAGGTGCGTGAGGAGTTTGCGTGTGGTCATAGCTCTGAGCAGGGCTCTCAGGGCTATTACTAACAACCAGTCGGTCAAAGCTGGTCACATGTATTTGCCACATCTGTCTGGTGGTGTAGTTGTTTTGCCATTATTGCAAATGCAATTACAGAGACTAGATCTTGTTTCTCTACCCAGATTTACTGCAAAAATAATGTTACAATTTATACATTCATCATCATTCATTTCGTTAGGTGGCAATTGCCTTTTAAGGAGGCCCTGAACAGCACGTGCTAAAACACAGCTACAGCTCTTGTGTTCTCTTGGCCTTATCGATCATACTTATACTAGATCATAAATGGAGAGATCTGTTCTATGAATCATCGTTTGCAATGTTTTTTGGAATGCTAGGGACTCACAGAATCAACGGGGATTAGCAGATGCTTGAAATATTTTGAATTCTATGTGATAATAATGAAGTCTTATTGGGCATGTCTGCTTAAATTGACCCAACCTAAGAGCAGTGTGAATGGTTGGGTGGCAGATTAGGAAGTGTGGGTGTGCTGGTAGGGTGGCACAGTAGTTAGCATTGCTGCCTTGCAGTGCTGCGTCCTGGGTTCATTTTCCAGACCTGGGGTGCCATCTGCATGGAGTTTGTATGTGTTTGTGTGCATTTCCTCCCGCAGGTCAAAGACATACTGGTGGGTTATTTGCCTACTGGGAAAACTGGCCCTGGTGTGAGTGTTGTGAGCTGGCAATGGACTGGCATCCTGTCTGTACCCTGCCTTGTGCCTCTTGCTTGCTGGGATAGGCAACGGCTCCCCTGTGGATAAAGTGGTTGGAAAATATATGGCTGGATGGCTGTGAGCGCGCTGGTGATATGGGGTTTGTCTTCAGGACACCTTCCAGGACTACCAGGAGATGTTCATCCAGTTCGGCTACGTGGTGCTGTTCTCCTCCGCCTTCCCGCTGGCGGCCATGTGCGCCCTCATCAACAACATCATCGAGATCCGCAGCGACGCCTTCAAGCTGTGCACCGGCCTGCAGCGGCCCCTTGGCCAGCGCGTGGAGAGCATCGGCCAGTGGCAGGTCAGCGTCCGGCACACACGAAACCTCCCTGGCTGATGTTGGAGAAAGTTTTCCCGCCTCCCCCTGAAAGACAGTCAGGAGTCCGTCTCGGAAGCTAAAAGAGATGCTCGTGTATTTTTCTCAAAGTAATTAAACTAGAAGAGTCCTTAAACATTTTTCTGTTATCTATCATGCTTCCCTGTGCTGATCAGATTGGCAGTGTTCCAGAATCATGCAGATCTTCCTACTCCCCTATTTGCCAAAGATCACAATTTTTAACACAATTGGTTACTTAGGTTCGTAGCATGCATTCCTATCTAACGCAGTGTAGAATTACATAGTAGCCCTTGTGTCCAGCATTCTTCCAGTCCAGTTCAAACCAGTTCTAAATGTCCATCTTATAAAATATTGCAGCTTCAGCAGAACAAGTGTGTACCAATTTCATAGCGACCCTCTCAACACTGACATGCCGGCACTGACTCGGCTGCTGTTTTTTCCCGAAGCGACGACAAGCCGTCTCGGTGGTTTGTGCTTTGCACTGCCGCGCAGGCAGGTGTCACGGGTTCTCTCTGTCTCTGCAGAACGTGATGGAGGCCATGGGCCTGATCGCCATCATCGTGAACTGCTACCTGATTGGTCAGTGTGGACAGCTGCAGCGCCTCTTCCCCTGGCTGAGTCCCGAGATGGCCATCATCTCCATTGTCATCCTGGAGGTACAGGGCTCCCCTCGGGCTGCACAGGCTGATGAGTAGGGATGGTCGGCTGTGTCTCCCAATGTACCGTGGCGGTACGCTGTGATCTCTTTTGTTAGCAGGCAAAAAAAGAGGGTACCCGGTTATGTTGCTGGAATTGGGGGGGAAAAAGGTTTTCATCAGTTTCCGCTATTTAACCTGATTGGTCAGTGAGAACTGATTCTAATGAGATGAAGCGTTTCATAAAACACAGCATCTTTATGAGATCTGAGATATGCATGAGGCTCTACATATAATGATAAAGAAACAAAGTACCACCTGAGCTCCGGGGCCTGGGTGTTTCCCTGCTGCGAAGCAGGCTGTGTTGCCCATCTCTCATTCACTCCCCTCTCTCTCCAGCACTTCGCTATGCTCCTGAAGTACATCATCCACATCGCCATTCCTGACATCCCCTCCTGGGTGGCCGACGAGATGGCGAAACTGGAATACCAGCGAAGGGAGGCGTTCAAGGTACGTTTGTGGGGTTTTTTTTTACACCAGCTCTCAGTGGGGAGGAGAGCAGAGTGATGAAGCCAGTTCAGAGATGGGGGTTATTAGGAGGCCATGATGGGTAAAGGCCAGGGGGAAGTTTGGCCAGGACACCGGGGTAACACTGTAATCAGAATGATTATGATTTAGGACCGTGAGACCAGTTCAGTGTGGCTGCTGTCATCCCTCCTGCACTCTGCTTGTCAGCTCTGTTAGTGTGGCCATACCCGAAGCACAGGGGTAATGGCATGAGGGTGTCGCGATGGCGCCGCCCTGGAGCCCAGCGGGCTTGCCGCAGGCGGTGACGCTGCTGTGTGTCCCTGCCCCGAGCAGAAGCACGAGCGCCAGGCCCAGCAGCACTACCAGCAGCAGCAGAGGAGGAAGAGGGAGGAGGAGGAGCGGCAGCGGCAGGCGGAGTACCAGGCCCGGCGGGAGAGGGAGCGGGACGAGGGGAGGCCCGAGCCCGCGGGCGGCGCCGAGCACCACCACGACAAGGGCCACGGGGGCAAGACACGCCCCGGCGGGGGGGGCCAGGGTTCGGACAAGCCCAAGCGGCCCAGCTCCCTGCTGGCCAACAACAACGTCATGAAGCTCAAGCAGATCATCCCCCTGCAGAGCAAGTTCGCGTCGGGCACCGCGCGCTCGCCGCAGTCGCCCACGGGCAGCGAGCCCAAGCTGCCCGGCTTCCTGAGCTTTAAGTTCCTCAAATCCCCCGAGACCAAGAAGGAGGCAGCGGCCGCCGCCGCCGCCGCCGCCGGCCAGGAAAGGTCTCAGTCCCCAACCAAGTCCTTCAACCCAGGGAAACTCTTTAACTTCGGCAAATCGGAAGGGGGCGCCGCCATCTGCGTCAATGGAGCCCAGGCCAGGTCCACGGACACCCCCCCAGAGAAACTGCCCACCAAATCTGACCTGAACGGGGCGCCGGACGAGCTGCCCTCTGGAGACGGGGAGAACGGCCACTCCACGGACTCGGAATCCGCCGGCCCCAAGATCTAAGGCCGCCCGTGGACGCATCTCGTTTCGTTTTGTTTTGTTAAAAACTCAGTTGAGACAATAGCGAGGAAGAATCCCAGCTCTTTTCCAGCCAGCTCTAGCAGCGAGGTCAGTGGGCCAGTCAGAAGATGGTCAGTGATTGGTCAGCCTGCTAGGATGCAGAAGGCCCTACCAAAAAGATAATGCCCCCGCCCCCCCCCGTCCTCACTGTCACTGTCCTGCGACACGAGGAGGAATGCATGACCTGCGTTTCCTATAGTTCACAAGCCGTTTGGAAAAGCAAAGCCGGAAGGGGATGTGAGTGTCCTGCAGACTGCAGGGTGCTAGCGTCTCTCCCTGGCCTGCTGCAGGAAAGGAGCTCCAGTTGAAAATGCTGATGTCTTAGCAAAGAGATGAAGGCTCAGGAAATGCTGAATCTCAGTTGCAATTAATATTACTAATACAATTAATATTTGGAATTAATATTACTGTGACTGAGTAAATCTAAAATGTTCTGTATAAAAATAAAGGTTGGACACCAAAAATTACTAAGAATAAAGCTTAGAGCACTGTTGTTGGAAATAGACCCATCCATATTTAATGTGCAGATTTTGGAGGATGTTAAACAATATTATAATTGGAAAGTTTTCATTTTTTTCTCCCAGATCTTTGACAGCAGCATTCTTCAATAGGAAAGCAACAGAATGAGTGAAGACGGTTTTTCTCAGCCCTTCTCTGGAACTACAAAATTGGGACTGATTGTCAGACTGAAGAAGTAGTTAGCAAATCTGCAGTATCAAATGAGTTATACAGGTATATAATCTTTATGAATATCTTAAAAAACCATATTCATGTGTTCTAAGAATGAAAGGCTTGTTATGGTCCCAAACCTAGAACCTGGGGACTTTAGACATCAGCTTTTTGTAACTGGGCACGGTTTGGGCAGAGCAGCGAGGTGAACTGGACTCCTCCACATTGAGCAGTGTGTCTGTGTGACTTCCACTCAGTCCCAGTGTTGAAAGAGGGAGAGTGCCTGTGATGCAGGAGACTGGGACTTGCTCGCTGTGTGGGGGGGGGGTCAGATGACTACACTGGTCATGCAGGTTTTGGAACGGGAAAGTGTGCTGACGATATTGTCTTTCCTGCAACAAAACGGAGGCATTTGTAGTCTTATTGTTGCTGGAACTCCTTAGTTAATAGAGTTAAAAATCAGGTAGTTGAATGATGTGAACTTAAAATTGAAAACAACTGTAGGAGCTTCACAAGAGCCTTGAAAGAGGTCCACATAGGACCACAACTAAGTTTGGGTCAGCTGTTGGTATGGCAACAAACAGGGACCATGTCAAACCATGGAGTGTTTGAACCCTGGGTGTCTTAACTCTTGCACGCATTGAATTCTTCCTGGTTGAAGCTCGGATATTGTCCGGTATAAACCAGTTGGGGCATAAGCAAGGTTGAGGGTGTGGGATTGGATTGAGCCGTAGGAGGTTTCCATAGGTACCGCTATTATTTCCTGCATTTTGCTTGCAAAGACAGGTGGGAGTGGGAGTTCCATTTTCATGCATGGCTCAAAGAAAAAAAAACGATTGCACTAACCACTCACCCTGCTAGCAGAGGGAGAGGTTTAGAATATACCAGCAGGGGGAAACACCAGCCTGCCTCATCATGTATGCAAAAGCTGGAAAAATCTTAATGTTTTTTTGTCTTGGACATTGTGATCAATTAGAAAAGAAATCATTGTTTTGACATCTCGGTGCTGGGATTATTTATGAATTCTGTTTTTAGGCAATTTAATTTATTGTGTGAACATTCTTTCAATCAGTGATTTGCCAAAGCAAGACCAAAACCAGGAATCCGGTAGGGATTTTTAAATTAAGTACAGAGCCATAAATCTGTGTGTATAGCTTCAAGGAAAAAGCATGGGGCCATTATGTAAGATTTTTACCATTTCTGAAGTTCTGTTGGATTCAATAGTATCCTCTCTTCTCCCTGTAGAAATTTCTAGAAGGGGATTTTGAAGTCTGAGAAGCAAGTCTTGAGGCTTTCTCTGTATGGAATATGTTAGATTTTATATTTATTTGTTGTGTTGTTTTTAATTTTTACATAAGGGGTGAAAGGGGACAATGTTTTTAACCAGGAGCAGTTTGGGATTTGTCCAGGTGGTGGCGCCAAGTTACAATTTTAAATCTTCTGCTTTTAAACCTTAAGGATGCACCTGGAAGATTTCAAAGCCAGGCACGGGGAGAGAAGGAGGTCTGTCCGTGGTCTGTTGTAAGTGCGGAAATTTTAAAGAAGCTGCTGTCATTCAAGGTGGCTGCAGAGCTGTTGAGCATGGGCCAAGCAAGGCCAAGGCAGCTCAATCTGACATAGTTTTCAGTAGCACTGGTTAAGAAAACTAACCAGCTGTATAATAAAAAGCATTCTCTCTCCTTTAATCTCATTAAGACCATTGTGAAATTTCTATCTGAACTATGCACTACCAGTCTTGCCCATTGAAGGAATTTGTGTTAATAACATTTGCAATAATAATAGTAAAACACATACAGACGTATGACGTACTGTACTTTGCATGAGCAGGAGCTATTTCGGTACTGTACCACCTCTGTTAGGTAATGCAGACACAGGAAGGGCACATCACTTGTGTCTCCACTGGAGCAGGAGACTAAACGCCTGGTCACAGGGAGTCACAGTGTCTTGTGGTTTTTGTTACAGCTGAGCTCTGACTGACTTCATGGGATCGATCAGCTTTCCAGATCTCTGCCTGTCTACCATTTAGAGTCCTGGAGAGTTTTCTCTCCCATCTCTTCGAGTCCGACCAGAAGGTGTTTTAGTGTCGTTGGCAGGAACGACAAGGTCTTTGAGTGCTGGAGCCCTTTGTTTTGGTAGACAGCAGTGCTGATTATGTGAAAATCAAAGGAGAAACTATAAAATTGATGAGCTGGAAAAGTGTTCTGCTTCTGTACAACAGGATTTGCCAAACGTATTCATTCTTTCCTTGTAGTTCCTGGTCTTAATACTATGAAAATTCAAGTGCATTCCTTTTTTTAACCATTGTATGATTACAGCCAAAACAATTTATACCCACTAAGCTGTTTTGCTTTGGTACATCGGAAAAATTACAAATGAGAGGAGGCACATTGCCCCATTGAGATAATTTAGTTCCATTGTTCTATCGTCCCATAGCCAGTACTAGCTGCAGTAGCAACAACCAACTTGGACATGAATTCTCCCATATTAGATGATTTAAGAGATGCCAATTAACCTAGCCAACTTGCCGCCTTCTTTTGCTGATGAGAAAGACACACAAACGTACAGATCATACAAACTCCACAAGTATAAAGTGAATCTAGGACCCACGAGTTGTGATGCAGAAGCAACTAATGTCTAACTGATGTCTACAATTTCCAGAAATCAGAGGCATTGACTGGCATCTGATTTTTTGAAGACCACAATTCCTGCAGTAGTTTCCAGTTCCAATACTGGCACTGCCCAGCCCCTGCCCACCTAAGGAGGTATATACTCCCTTCATCAATTAGGAAATCCTATAAAACTGTCAGAATTCCATCGTTAGATGTTGCAGGAAATGGCTGAAATGCTTTAGGTGACTTCACCACCATTGCTCTGGGACATTAATTTTATTTGCACTCAGCAACGGGTTTCACCCCTCTGTGAGCTCAGGCAGTTTGCAGCACACAGATGCAGGATGCTTTTGCAGCGTAGTGAGTATTAGTTAATTATTGCATTGAGTTGCACAGTGCCCATGCACACTTGGAACAATAGCTGGAGCTTGACAAGGCTGTTTTTATTTTCTTTGACAGAGCGTTTATCACTTCACCTTGTAGCAATGGGAGAAAGGATGGTTGCGGAGGCCTTAATTAATGCAATAAACTAAGGGAATGTGTCGTACTACTAATACGATTTTTTTTTTACATAAACGATGATTAGTTGAGTGAACTTTTGTCTGAGCTCGGCTACTGTGAACTAGACTGGGTTAGACAGCACTCATCTGACTTTTGAAGGGCCTGAGCCGCTTCTCATGTCCATTAAGTGTAAACAGTGTGTAACTGCATCATCAGCCTGGAAGAAGGAGTTGGGAGTGGCAGCAGCTGTGAAGGCTGGTGAGAGGTAAGGTTTGAGAAGGCTGGACAGAAAAAGTGACGCCTCTGTGGTTGTGGTTGGCTTGCAATTAGGAAGCCCTGGGAACTATTGTTATCGCAGCAAATGGGAGATTATGCTCTTAGTAAGATTAAACACTCAGTGGGTACATACCCAGAAGCTCAGGGGCGAGATGTCATGTGTGCAAAGTATAGCTTCCCAATATAACCCCTTCCCAAATGTATTTTCCAGTGTCACCCATGTGGACATCCTTTGCTCTTCCAAGTGGCCGCTGTATAAGAGAACTGTACAGGGCTCTTTTAAGGAGAAAACAAATGGGATTATTTATTTCTTTTAATTTATTTTGTCATATTTTTGTAAAATCTGCCAACATAATAAATAAAACAATTTTAAAAAGTTCTTCTTCTCTCCCATATATAAATGTATTCATGATTTTTTTTTTCTGGGCCCAGTTAATTTATAAAACAGGTAAATAAAGGAGTGCTCCGTTAAATAGGGAAACGAGATTTGAAAGAAAATGGGACTGATGATCTGGACAATGATTGCATTATGATGCAAAGCCAGTATTGCTCTTGAAAGGCAGGTGTATGCATCCACACAGCCAGTTCTCATCTGTGGGACAACTGGTCCTTATCCAATCAGCCAGCATCAACCTCAAAGGTTGAGAAAAGTGACTTACTGTACACGATTCCTTTAAAAACATCTGAATGAGGACTGCTTTGTATTTGTATCGTATTGACATTCAAAACACATCCTAGGCTGAACCGCTTACGTCTCCCTGCAGGACATATTCCATCCCAGGGACTAGCTAGTTAGCATGCGTGCACTTTGTCTTTAATTGGTCTAGTCTGAAAGTCCGCTTCTAGCATTAAGAACACATTTTCCATTCACACTAGTAAGAGCAATTTTATTTAAAAGAGCTAAGATATGAAACCGTAAACCCAAAGGAATATAAACACACAAAAAAAAACACCAGACCCATCCATGTCTATCACACGGTTCGATTCATACTAAAGTTATTGCTACACTAGGTTTGACGGCATACTGGAGAACTAGGAGAGAGAGGGCTGAGGAAGACGGCAGTGCCACTTCTTGTTTTAATAATAATTGCTTACGCTTATATAGCACTTTTTCTGGACACTCAAAACGCTTTACAGGTAATGGGGATCCCCTCCACCACCACCTCCACCACCAATGTGCAGCCCCACCTTGATGAAGCAACAGCAGCCATAGTAACTAGTAAACTAGTTAATAATAGATTTGTTTCCCAAAAAAACAACAAGAAAACTAAATTCACCAATTAAAATAAAAGGGTCAACTTTTCAAATGCATGAAACAGAAACCATTGAACCAACTCATTTCTGTCCCTGCAAGTTAAAGGTGCGACATGTCTTTTTACATGTAAAGATTTAGAGCCATGCTTTAAACTTAAATCTCTTAAGGGGAGTGTTCTGATTTTGCCTGCACTCATTAAGACTTGTGTGGGGAAACAGGCAGTTTCTCCAACCCTGTCAACCTCTTGCAAGACCTCAAAACCTCCCACAGCCACACCAACAATAGCACAACAGCACAGACCGCAGGCCCCAATGGGTACTCCTCGTTCAAGTGAAGCAAGCGCCTTCCTGCCTGTAAATCTGCATTGCTCAGCAGGATGACTCTGACAAAGGCAACAAATGACATGGCATGTTAAGGATATCATGGTACATACAATATGTTATAGATCAGACAAAATGCTCACTGAAAGGTTACATGGAGAAGATTACTCCTTCTGCTTTAACATGGCAGCTATTTGCCACCTATAACTTTCTGCAGTTGCCTTTATGGAAAACTCTGAACATACATGCAGGTCAGCTTAGGCCTAACTAGATGGGATCAGCATGAAAACAGTGCTGACTATGTGCTTTCTTTCTGACCTCCTAAGAGACACCACCCCAGTACATTCATCCATCCAGCAAAAGCACCTGCTTTGGCATGTGTGTTGCATTACTATTACACTGACATAATATAGTCAGGGACTATACACCCACAATACATTAAAGATTCCAAACTTGCAGATCCCCAATTACTACGGCCAAGAAGGAAAAGCAATGTCAAGCATGGACATCACAAACTTGGAAGTTGTGCTTTTCAGACTTAAAGTACACAAGAAAAGTGCGACAAAAAACATTGTAGGGTTGCTTTTTTTTTTTACAAGCGAAGACAATAATACAATGAAAAACAAGAAGTTAGGTACAAGAAAAGGGATAATTTTACATAGCAGCAGTAAAAAAACAAGATTGGGGAATTTAATTCTGGCTAATTTCCCCACACCTTCATTTACACATTACCCATTCGCTCAAGTTCAGACTGGCAGCAGAAACTTGCCAAACTGAAGCATTTACCCCATCTGACACTATCAACCAATTATCAATTTGATCACAAATCAATGGGACTCAATCTCATGGGCTCTGTGTAAATGCCAGCTTTAATCTGACAGCCTTAAGTGGTAAAAAAAAGCAAAGCAGATAAAACTGCCGACACAATATCAAAGAGTGCTATCAACAGTGATAGCCTGCACAAGTAACAGCATGTAAAAACAAAAACATTGACAGACATGTACACAATGTGACAACACCTGCTCCACCACTTGTCGCTCATACTGCATTGCTCGGTTTAGATGTTAACAATTGACATCTTAGCATCTAGGCTGTGAAGGATCCACATAACTATAAATGCCAACCCATCACGGCTCAGGCTTTAAAAACTCTGGTAACACTCAACCAACGACTGTATATTCCCTTTTTAAGCATTAGGCTTGCATTGGTTTGCTTTGGTTCTTCCAGTCCATTTCAGCTTAGACCCCTCTACCAGTTACACTAATTAGGGAATTGGTAGTTTTAAAGTCCTTCAGTAAAACAGAATGGGAAGGCATCAGTCTGAGGTGCAATGACAGATTATACTCATCAGAATCACATGACTTAATTGAATTATGAATATCACCTTACGGTTTGAGGCAAAAATCACGGAACTAAACAATTCCAGGAAGACTAAATGGTTAGCAAAAAGTCTATGGTGGTAAAGTACTACTGAGCCACACATTTTATTAGCATATTTAGGCCAATAGCTAATAACTTGAAAAGAGAATGCCAAAGTGCAAAGTAGATTTGTTCCACAACACTCACTATAGTGGCAAGCCATATTTTCCCAAAATAGCAAGCTTCTTCGCTTATTCCTAAAGAAAATCCAAATCCAGGGGACAAGACCACAAAAGGGGCAAAGTACATCATTAACAGCAGTAAGAAAACAAACACCGCTCTTAAAAGCCTAGGGTGAACATACTCTAGGGTGTCTGGTGTTGGAGCTGAAATGAAACGCGTTGATAACAATCCCAGTTAGTCTCCCAGATTGCAAGGGGTGAAAGGCTTCGTATTCAGTTCAACATTTGATTGTAAATGGAAGGATGGATGAGAATGAGGGGGAGTTCATGCCAACGCCTCTCTGCTAAGAGCTGTCCATGGTGCTAGAATGGCCCTTCTTGTGGAGAGCTTGGGTATCACATTTTGTAATAAGTTTTACTCACAATATAATCCTAACCTCATTATTTAGGAAATGAGGCAACCTCAAGACCCTTATTAACAGCACAAGATGGTGACATCTCCATACTAATAACAGGTTTCATAACTGCCACTTTAAACTATACTCTAGTTGTAAACTTAAAATACTACATTGCACAGACACTATATTAATCTTTCAACCCATAGAATAAAAGGCTGTTGAAACGGGAAATTGATTTGCCTTTACTCTGCACCAGTAAACTACACCAAACCAGTGTACTACTATGTTAAGCATGACAGCCAATAGTGTATTTTGAGCCATACACCAACTCACCTTTAGGTGTTGGATTTTTATTACACTGAACGCAACGACAACTCAAGAACAAAGATTCAGACTTAAATTTATAAGGTTACAACAAGAGTTTCTGAAGATACAACAGTCTGTGTGAGCCACAGCCCAACAAAGTACACAGAGTAGAGCAAAGGGTGATAATCTAATTCATGAAGGCTAAAAAGTGATATAGAACAGGGGAAGAAAATCAAACTGCTGAGCTTGACGTAGCTTTATAAGATGCTGTAAACAAAATCATGACATGTTTGCTCAATTTCCTGGATGAATTCCCATTAAAAACAGTAGGATGCAGTACACCTACTAAAGTGAAAGGTTTGTGATACTTAACGGGCAACTTTGATTCTCAATTAATTTTCCCTACAATTACAACTGAGAGTTGTCTAAGACCTACAACATTAATTATGATCAGGCACTCTGTAAAGAGTCAAAAACCTTAACGAGGGCTTGAACTGAGGGACAAGGTATGTAAGTGGCTGAAGCAGTCAAAGCTTAAACCCCAATTCCAAACCCACAGTTAAATCACCCTTGAAGGTATAACTTAATGGATTTGTGTACTGCAATCTCAAAACGTCTCTAAAAGACATTTAATGAAGTCCGGTTTCAATTGTTCACCATCTTCCTCTAGGAACACATCAGGTGGGGGACCAGGTTCTACAGAACCTTTCTTCAGACACTATCTGTAAAAACCCAAAGATGTACCGGCATGCAAAAAGAACCAGCAGAAGATGATGTGCCTTCTGCCTTGTACAGGCATTCAGAGGAATGCAGTCCTCCAGTGAGGTGCTGAAGCTGTTTGAGAAATGAAAGAATGCAGACAAGCAACCAAAAATCAGAACAGAACAGATCCGTCAGTCTGCTTCAAAACAATGGGTAACAAAGTTAACCATTATTTTTGCCACAAAACATTCAAGGCTAAGCCAACAATGGGCCACCACACTTAATCTATTTATTCCAAGCCCAGTTAAATTAAATGCAACACATCAAAAAAAAAAAAGACTCAACCTCAGTAACTAATCTGCTATGGCTAGCACAAGCGTTCATGCTACTCAAAGTAAAAAAAATGCACTGATAGATATAGGATGCCAACACGAAGGAGAGATCCCCAGTGTTTCTGTGCTGATACCACCACGCGGGGGTACCATTGGAGGGTCCATCAGAACAGGCAGCTTCAGAGGGATGTTGCGTCAGCCCTGACCCCTCCCCCCTCCTCTTATCCAAGGCTGGGCAGTGTGAGGGGAGAGAGCATAGGGAGCACAATGGGAAGCTCTTGCGACGAGTAAAATATACAAACGAACACTTAGTGTCCTTCCCAAGTCCTGGTAATCCGTCCTTCCGTTTTCCGTCTTTCGTCTTGTGGAGGTCAGAGTGCATGTAGATGTAAGTGTGGGTGTGGGTCATGCACTGGGAAAAAGGCTCTGCTTAAGTGTCTTCGTTCATGTCCTGGCTGTCTGTCCGAGCGATTTTCCGGGGGGGGGCAGGGCTCTCCCCCTCTCCTTGCTCCTGTTCCCGCTTCTTGGCCGCATTCTGTTGAAGACGGAGAGAGAAGAAAAAAAAAAACTGAAACGTGAACCCACACAGGGCTGGGTGCTACTGCGATAAACTTCAGTGACAGGAGATCTGAAACCCAATACCTTGGACAGGTTTAGGGTCAATTTCGAATCTCAGCCTACACGTGTAATAGATGCTGAACTGGAATGGAAAAAAAAGGAGCAGGATGGAGGGACACTGCCCTAACCGCCTCAACCACTTCTAGCAGTGTTTGGAGATGACTGTACATCACACATCTGTAGGTTTTGGTTCCAGTTTAACTTCTGAGCCAAATCAGCTTTTTACTGGCTTAACTTCAGCCATTAATCAATGTCTTCTAGGAGTGGGACCTCCCTGAAATAGATGCCATACAGTAGAATTGTAGCCATTGCAATGTGTTAAAGCTTCACACAAAAACAAACTTGGCTACACTCACCTAATGGGAACACGTAGAAAGAACCAATTTGTCTCCTGCAACCAAAAACTATTTATATGATATAGCAAGAATCAAATGGAAAGCAAAGTCAACTCCAAATTTTCAGAATGCATCACAATCCCCACATTAAGAAAGCGATTCTTACCTTCTTATCCCACTGTTGATGAAGGTAGCGCAGAAGAATATTCGTCTTCTCGGTGACAATGACTGAAAAACATGAAATCAATTATCAAATAAACCTTTATATAATGTCCAGCACAATGATTTTTAGAAATGCACTTCTAAAATAATAGACCACAAGCTATTTTTCCAAACAGGGAAAAAACACACATTTACGAAGGAAACTATCAGGTCTAAAACAAAGCATAGTTTTCTGACATTTATAGAAGCGTCATGAGTTTATTTCCATCAAATGAGATTTGGCAGAGTACAAAGCTGTAGAGGCAAATGTAAAGGGCTATTCCTGCAATCAGAAAGCTCCCTTCAACATTCAACCGCCACTCAGACTCAACATTTTTGCTTTACATGCAACTCCATTTGGATCTGTCCTCATTTCCTTCCATGGGGTACATATTTTACCATCCATCATGGATGATAATCCCCATCTATAAAAATGCTGCACTAAGCAAAGGTTATAAAAGAACTAAAAGTACAAAGAAACATTTACTAAGATCATTGCTATGTAGAATTTACACTCATGCCCCATAATTTACACATGATGTGCAACAAGAGAGAAAGCTCTGCTTTAGAACAGTGTGCAGGATTTCATGAACACTTCATGCAGAAAAAGCATCTGTAAGAATGATACATCATCAAAACCAGTTAACATACATTTAAGCTTTTTAGTTCTGACCAGCTGCTCAGCAAAGACAACCCCCTTTAGTACAATCCACTGTTAGTTCTGTATGATTCACAGAACCTCAAGGAAGGGATTAAGACTAGGGTTTCTGGTGTTTATTTTCAAGTAAAACCTCCCTTTACACTAATCTGCATCAAATTTACAAATGCATGAATATTTAAAGCCAAATTCACTCAAACAGATTTCTTTAAACATGCATGATATTTGTCTACTAAATTTAAAAGTAAGGTGCAAAACAGAAGTTCAAAGACAGTGGAGGCTACTTGAAGTTACTGGAAAAAATTAAAGGCGAGAAAGATTTGGGAACAAGTAGTGAGTGCAAATTTATATTAAATTTGTACATGAACATAATTAGTAAATTAAATTAATGTGTTAATTAACAGCATCATTCAGCTTTGTTCAAATTATTCTAAGACCTAATCATGACGTTCTGGAGGTCTTCATAACAGTGAGGGAAACAAAAAAACATTTCAAATGAGTACTAAATTGTGAAAGTCCTAATTCACCATCACTACTGTGTGACCTAATGTTGGGTTTATATTGTGCATCACATTTCTCAGTGGTGGGAGGGTGGAGAAAGACCGGCTGAGTTGACCCAGGGATTCATGAATGGGAGTGACAAAGCAAACCCTGTAAAAGAGTCAGCTGGACCTGCACCTCCCCCCAGCAGAAATGCAAAATCAGCTCTTTCCATTTCTGCTCAGTACTACATTATGCTTCACACGGGAAGTGGACCTTCTCTTACTGGGTGTCCCAGCTCAATCCCAGAGTGAAATTCCAAAGACACTTACTCTGTTCAGAAGGATACTCGCGTGTGGGGAGGTACACAGATGGTCTCCTGTTCTGTAAAACAAAGCTCAATGAGGGAGGCTGGGAGAGAGCAGCTCTGCTAAGGTCACTAACCAGTGACATGAGCAGGCTCTTCCTGCCACTGTTGGCCCTAGAGAACATTTCACAGTGCTTAAACTAAGTGTGGATAAAGATAATACCCTTTGGAGGGAATAAAACAGTTCTGGGAACGTGAACTTGGTATAACAATGGACATATCACAGATCCCTCATTCTCTTCTAAATTTTTCATCCTCTCTCATTTCAGCAAGCATGCATTACAATACCAATCCCTTACTGCCAACACTACAATCGAATACTACAATCCAGAGCAGTATTTGATAAAACTGAATACTTAGGTTGATCATTTTGCATAAGGCTTTTTAATTTTATTTTAAAAAAAAGACAGACCTAAGCTGCCTGCGTTTTCATAAAAGTTTAAGTTATACTCCAGCTCAAATTTCTGGGCTTATACTATTTATAAAAATAAAGAAACAGTACTTTAACAATAGAGACAAAAATATTAAACCCAGCCATTAATAATACATTGAATTGAAGGTCTAAAAAAAAGTATAGCACAAACTACACATCGTCTACAGATAAGCAGGTCTTAGTCCTGTGAATCATTTTATTTAGAGATAAGTAGCAGATAATTTGGTAGCACATGCAGGGCTGTTTGAGACCCATTGCCTAAGACTTTAAAATGAGACATATGCACAGCTAATCACCAAACAAAGACATCCTAACTATTTGTGCAGAAAACGGTTAACAAACAAACAAAGGCTTGCAGATTAGACTTGGAAGATACTGCTAGCATGCCAGATAAAAAGAACTGGGCTGCAGAGTCTAAAGGTCAGATTCACATCTCATACCAGTATCCCTTGAAAGAATCATGGGATATCCAACATTTTCTTTTTATAGCACTTTTGCCGATACCATTTATCATCCTAGCAGCATGACAAACTCCATACAGCTATAGCGTGACTTGCCACCAGTTTTACAACAGGTAGCATAAATTTCACGAGAGCCAACTCACATCTGCAAAACATGAGAAGGCAGGAGCTCATCAAGGCCACGACTACCCATATCAGCAGAACGAGAAGACCAACATTCTCTCAATTAAAAAAAAAATGAAATAATCGGCCAGTTTTGATTACGTTTAATCTCTTGAACCCTACAATATCCCGCACCTGTAGCAGGCAATCAATACTCACCGACGCTTTGCACACTGAATCGGCATGAAACCTGCTGAAATTGCTCTTGTTGTAGACAGGAAGGCCTTTCAAGAAATCCGCCTGCAACACAATAGGCCAGTTGTCAGACAACATGGTTAAAAAAACTAGCCTGCACACAGCTGCAGGAATATAATAATCTCTGTTATACTTCACAAGTCTACAGCATAGCATCTAGGAGTTCGACAGTTTTAATTATGTTGCATGCACACCTACTTACCTGTTCTGCCTACAGCTTTTGCGTAATCATAAAAAGTCAAACAGCACATGGCTGTGATGGTTAAAACAGTTTTTGAATGACACGTAAGAAGCAGAGCACTGTGCAATGCTAACTGGGTTCCAGAACAATTTCTTGTCCCTAAGGAAGATGCACATTCAAAGGTGGCGACATGGGAACTATTTCGGCAGTACTAGCTCTAGAAAAAAATACTCTGCAGAACAAGTCATTAACTTAATAATAATAATAATAATAATAATAATAATAATAAACTTTATTTTATATAGCGCCTTTAAAGGTGGCTTCTCAAAGCGCTTTACAGGATGACAATAACAATAAATAAGAAGACTACAACAATAAATAAGAAGACTTAAGCTTTTTGTTCCATTTTTTAAAGCAAAATAAACACTGTTCCTTTAACAACCACAAACATTCAGACAATATGCAGGCTTGAAACACATTTTGTAGAACACTTTGTATGCAGACAGCAATTACTGTCATCTTCCTTCTGGAGAGGCACCAACTCCTTCTGGCTCAATTAGATTTTGATCAAAAAGCAAGTATAACTTTCATAAAGATGCAAGTTATGGTTTGTGCTCCCCCCCGCTGTACTCCTAACTGCAGAATCAGTTGTTTTTTAAGTGCTTTGGAGAACATACATATGTTCTGTTAACAAGCCTCGTGAGTGTTTTTAAACTCACGCTTCTAAAAATAAATACTCGGGGGGAAATGAAACAAACAGATCCCCTTCAATACGAGGGCAAAGCGTGTGCTCTTCTAGATCCTAAAAGGATGCGTACTAGTAGCAGATTAAAAGCGCGCAAAGGAAATAAATGGTTAAAAATGATCAAACTAGAATTCTAGAACAATTTATCTCTTTACATTGCCACCAACAAATGAACACAACCACTCTCCTGCACTAAGATCACCAATCAGAAAGCCCTGATGGGCTGTGCCATGAGTGATATCACACACACACACGAGGGCAGGAAACCCCAGTCCTCAAGGGCTTGAAGCCTGGAGGTGCTCCCATTAGCGACTGATAAGGGCCCCGAACAAGCGAGGACTCTCCGGGTTACGTGGTCCGTCGCGGATGCAGACAAAACATGTCATCGGTACTGCAATTACTGCCCGTGGCCCTTGTAACAATCTATGATGACAACAGTGATTTTAAAACACCTCAACTTGGGAGGAACGTTCTCTCTCCCCCCGAGGCTCCCCAAATCTGTGTAAAATGCACCGCCCTAATTCAGCTAGCTCTGGTGAACAGAATTGGAGGTGGTTGCTAGATAATGCATGCCTGGGTGTGGACTCCAGACAAAAAGACATTCTCGCCGGGGGTAAGGGTACAGTCGCCCCAGTGTCTGGGGAAACAGGGCGTACACACGCTTAAGAGCAGAAACCCATTTACACGTATTCCACTTGCAGTTTAAAATAACCCAAATAACCCGTCCTTATCATGTCGGACAGCAGGATATATGCTCTGCCCAGGAAGCAGGCTCTACGGTGACACAGCCGGCGTTACACAGCAGACGTTCACGGAAAGACTAGCCGACAGAATCCTACTTAAACACGGAACTCCAAAAAAAAAGTGAAAAGCGACGTAGCTGGGTGTTGATGCGAGAGCGGGTGTTTTGTGTTACTGGGCGAAAGGCGAGCGGTTTAACGGTCTAAAAATCCGAGACAAATATGATGGCGCTTCGTCGGAGCTCGGCCGTTGTCTCGAATTCAGCCGGAGGCTCCCTGGGAAGATTTTCTGCAGCGACGGTTGTTTTACACCCTTTAGTCGACTACAAAGAACACAATATAAAACCACATTTTAAAACACACCGTCTTAAAAGACAGACGCGCGCGAACGTCACCCTGCAGCCATGCCCTCACCACCCCACGACAAGAAAGAGAAGTCAAGTTACACCATACCTTGTCCATGCCTCTCGAATTTAAGTCCTCAAATCCAAATTATCAAAAGAAAACGTCGGATTGTGTATATATAGAGCACAATACAGCACAATATACACGGTTACCGAAATACAATCATATCCTCCACGACACACTCCTCTAGCTGCCTCGACCCTGCTTCCAGGCTCCTGCCGTCAGTACCGATATTATGAACTTTTAAGGTTATACTACAATAATACTGAAACAGAGTTGAAAAATATATGCACAAGATCTCTTTTTCAGTTGAAACCCACCATCTTTACTTCGGCACAACCAACAAGCAAGCCCCGAAAACACACATCCTAACCTGTTAGATCTTGTTACGCCTCTGGACGGCTCTCATTGGATACGAAGCACAGCCCTATTCTCAGAGAGCCTCTCAAGACCTTGTGCTGCGTGTCGATCAACAGCGCCCTTTTCTATTGGACAGTTCTACCTGTCTATCATTTCCAGACCCACCCGAACGGCGCGGTAGGTTGAGGCGTTCGCTTAGTCACGTGCGTAGCCAAATAGTACCTGAGAGGTGAGCTGCTGGGAGTCTCCCTTCGCGGGGGAGCTTGGGAGTTGTAGTGCACGTTTCAGTTTAATTTTATATGTTTATGACGCGTTAAACTCGAAACAGTTCTCTTCTAGATTGAAGGATTTTAAATTACTTTATTTTTGCGTCTTGAAACGCATGGTCTCGCTACAGAAACCCGTCCTTAGAAAAATATTACATATACAAAAATAGAGAATACCGATATAAAAAACTATTAATATATTCATCAGTACTTTAATCTATAGGTGACTGCTTCATACCCTCTCTCACTCTGGTGTATGAAATATAAGAGACTTATTTTTTAGTGTGTATGTCATTCATGCCTGTGTCTGGATTTATAGTGGTCACCTAATAAGCGCCGTGTAGACAAGGGGGCAGAGCCCCTCTCCAGCAGTATTCGTAGGTGGCCATTAAAATCAGTTTCTAAAGACTAATAAATCCACAGGACAGCAAACCTGAACCAGATACGTTTAATGAAGCCCCATATCTCATGACATCAAGTCTTCTGTAAAGTTCTGCAAGGATTCTGCTGATTTATAACAGTTCTCTCAACATACAGAGCAGTGCTTCTCAGTCAAGTCCCGGGGGAGCACCGTGTCCGCTATTCATATCATTTATTATTCCCCAAAACTCTTGGAAGCCTGTACCAGATCTGCTAAATTAAAATATATATATATTTTTTTCTCATATCTTCAACATAAATAACTTTATGCAGCCTCTCCTGAGCTTACATAGTAATATTTTGCTTTTTTATTTCAAATAAAATGTTCTTGATAGGTGATCAATTTATGATGAAGAGACACAGATGGAGCTGTCAATGTATCAGAAACCCCACAATGACTGTTCATCTTATTTCCCTTCTGCTGAAGTCTGCCGGGTTGCAGTTGAGCTAACACTTCTGAACGGGGGGAGTTCTGCAAAATAGGAAAAGGCATGGAGTTGATACCATTTGCAAACCCCATAAAACTTTCTAAAAGCATCCCTAAAACTGAAGATTGAAAACATTTCTGCTCAAGCGTTATTTCACTAGAGCAAAAACAAAACACATAATCTTTTGCAAAGTATTCTACGTGCAAAACAAATTCCTGAGAATACAGACAATAAGGTATTATCGTATCGCACTGTAAAATGGATTAATACCAAATGAGGATTATTTTATTTAAGTCAAGATACACTTCACATACCTCTGGCTCTGTTCTGACGTGTATAACTGGATATATTGAGCAGCTTGATGACTGCATGGGTGTGCTATGCTTTTCGAGTTGCTGTCTGTATGATAATGAATATTTAAAGCCTTCATTCAGCCCAGACATTCAGGCGGCTGGAGAAGGTTGGAGGGAATGGCTATAAACACAGCTCCATTAGCGCTGATGGCTTCGTGACTCCGTTATTCTACATTACACTGTTAGCAGCAGCCGCATTGAAGTCTGGTGCCACTGGATCCCAATCTGCTGCACTTAATGGGCAGCCAACACCTCCCATTTTGATAGCAGAAGAGTGGTACCTTCTGGACAAGGGTTTCCAATCCTGGGTCCTGGACAATCTCATACCTGTGGGTTTTCATTTCAGTCGGTTACCCAGCTGAGGCCTTATTTGAACGAAGAACTTGCTCAATGGGAATATCGGCCAGTTTTTAGTTCTATCCCAAAATTGGAGGATTTTTACAAATGTTATAAAAGGCATCCTCCAACAGATTTAAGTCAATTAAGGATTCAGTTGTGTAACTGAGAGCTTAGCTGGAAAACCCGGATGTTGTGTGAGCCTCCAGGGCCAGGATTGGGAAGGAGTGTTTGGGAATGGCTGATTTTGACAGGGCTTAAAGCCCTGCATTGTACATTTAAGTTTTGGATACGTGCTCAGATAGGTGTGACAGGCAACTACATCCATAATGATATACTTGCATTTTTTATGCATGATTTGTCATGTCTTACTGCCTCCTCTCAAAGCCATCACTCGGTCAAGATCATGGATCAGGATCAAAGGTAGCACTCAAAGTACTCATGTACTTTTTGGACACTGCATTAATATACTGTCTATACTGTGGTACTTTCAATCTGTATATACCTATGCGTATTTTGCACATATTTTATTGTTTTACAGTGACTATTAGCATATATTGCACACACCTAACTCTATTTATTTTATTTTGTATTGCTGTACTTATTTTAATTTTTAGTCTATTCTGATGTCTGTTTTTGCTTGTCTTTTTTTTATATATCTATCTATCTCAATATAGATATCCAATATCCCTGCCTCACTTTACTTCCTACGAATCTCTCTTTCTCTTCCTGTTTTGAATATGTTGTTGTTCATAATAAAAGTTTTAAAATTAAATATGGGTCATTCACAAAATGATTTTGGGAAAGCACACATGCTACACACACACCACCAGTGATGAATCAGCATTGGTCACTGTTCAGATTTCCTGCCGTTTGTATGAATTCTGGCCAATAAAATCTTTCCATTGTCAAATTGCAGCCAATTCTGAAGGCAGTGAATTCAACTGAACTCCGGAACTGTTTTGCAAAATGAGTCCTTGCTTTGCTCAATGTAAGATTTATCTGTCCCTGGGCTGTGAAAATCATTCTTGCTTTACCAGGAATATTTCAACAAGCTGGAAAGGGAGATTCAGAGGGATACAAATTCGGTTACCAGCCTTCTTACAGGGCAGCTGAAGAAAGTGTCTGGGTCTGCTCCAGCACTAGAGCAGTGCAGACCTTCAGCAGGATGCTGAAACAACAGAGCCGTTAATCAAGCATGCAATTAAGGCCTGGAAGAAGGATATCACTGCTTTCTGTCACTGCAGTACCCACATTAACTTCATTATGTGGTATCTCATTTATTAAGAATGCAGACATTATTGTCAGCAATATTAAGATCTCTTATTAAAGGAAAAGTACAATCTCATTCCAAAGGCCGAGAAATTCAGTGAGAGAGACTGCAACTATTTGTTTTAAAGGATGTGAAGCTAAAGAGACAAACAGAGCACATCTCACTTCCTAGGTAATGCCATTACTTTGTACATAAGGTTTTTTTTGTTCGACAGCCATTAAGAAAATCATTAAGTATTTATCTATGCCACACTTGTATCAACTAACCTTTTCTTCAGAAATTCAATGAGCACGTGCAAAACGCAACTCTTCATGTTGACCCTCCATTCTCATTCTTCAATTCTTTTTTTTGCCACCAGGTGGCAAAGTGTGACTTTTGCTTCCCTCAGGCCTGTAAAGAGCCCAGGACCAAGAGCTGCAAGTCAGCAGCACTAATCACTCACCTCTAGAGCTGCCCCACTGTTTTCAATCTGAATAGAAAGTGAAATCCATGGTTAAAATATCTTACTAAATATTGTTCAGCTACAAAATATTACTTCTTACCTTTATTTCTTTGGTCCTTGTATGTTTCTCTACTGTGCCTTTCAAAACATGCAGAGATGTCTGCCAGAGTTCATTTCAGCCTATGGATGTCCAAACCCAAGAACACGTTTTCTGTAAACATCAGGGCTTCCTGAACATGGGTTTTGAGGCTTACGTTTTTTTTCTCCAAAATCACTGCACATCACCTTTTCAAACTGCCACCTTCCAGCATTTGAGAAAAGGCTCAGGGAAGAACAAATACTTCTGACAAAACCATAATTATCTGTTTTTCCAGATGGGATTGTGGCTACTGAAATCAGCAGCCTCAGTGACCCACACAGTCCTCCTGGCTCTTCTCCAGGGATACTGATGTACACATTCTTCAGTGGGAAATGTTGAAGAAAATGAGCCTATTGGGTAAATCATACCCAATAACTGTCCTGCAACACAAATAGTAACCCTCATTTGGTGTCCCTGAGTATCTGTTACACGAACATCAAATATAGAAGAGTGAAATTGCATCTTGTGTATTCCTATAAGGGAATCAATTTATAAAAATCAATCATTACAATGCCACTGTTAGAAATCCCAGATTAGAGGTTTAGGGAGACTTGATCAGAGTTTTACACTGGATTACTGGTGCAGGGCAACATCCAGCATATTGAAACTACACCTCACAGTACTCAATCACGGATGATAATCAGTTCTAATAATGACATTGTTCTGCTCTCATAGTCCCAGGGTAATCAATATGCCTATCACAGAACTCCAAAGACATTACATAATTAAGTAAAATTTACTGGCACATTCTCACCACACTTTTAAAAACAAAATAAAGCTATTCAGACAAAAAATATTCCTCACCAGTTTGTATTTTTAGAGATTTAAAGAACACCAGTAAAAGGTATAGTAGTCATACAGTAGGTTACATAAAACTGCTTTATTAGTTGAGGAGAAAAAACAAAAGCCCGTAACGACACATCTTCATTGGAACATCAGCACGTTTTATTCCGTTCATCCACTAATGAATTCAGAAAAGTCCGGTGAAGAAAAAGCGTTCTTAGATGTGAGCACATAAAACCGGGCACGACAGCGAGCTTTTAAATAGACCAGACTGTTTGTTTGTAGACATGCTGCCCAGGCCAGACAGGCAATCGAGGAGACCAGCACGCTGGGAGACGTGGAATGAGCTGCAAAGCATGCTGGGAGTTGGCTGCAGGATGCTCGGCCAAGCACACGCATTTCGGCCCAGCGCCAGGGGCGACGAGCCCTGGGTTGGAGCCATAACTCAAACGTCCGCCTTGGGACGCCCCGGGCCCAGACTTCAGTGCGTCAGCGACTTCCTCCCCTTGAGCATGCGCCGCAGGATCACCTCGATCCCGCCTCGCGAGCTGATCCTCTTGATCCACCCGTGGGTGCGCTTCCTCTTGATGTTGTTGGGCTGGTACTCCAGGCCGCGCTTGCGGGTGCGGACCTGCTGGTGCCAGGGCAGCCCCTGCAGGGGCCCCGGGGTGCCTGTCCGTCTCAGCAGCCCGCCGGGCAGGGCTGGGCAGTCCGCGGCCGCGTGGGACAGGACCCAGCTGCTGGCTGGACGGAGGTAGGAGGGACCGCACACAGGACCCTGCTTCAGGAGAGCCCTGGGAAAGAAACAGCTGTTAAAGGACTCTGAATACACTCACAGGTAAACGCAAACACTCGGTACATTGACAGCAAGGGCAAATAACATCCCAGCATGCTTCCGGTCATGTAGGACAGGCCTGGTTACTTGTAGTAAATACTAGCGTTTTTCTTTTTTTTTTCAGAAGCAGGCTGGTTTATTTGTTCCAAAAACAAAACCCGTTTAGATTTATACGTACTGCAATTTAAAAAAAAATGTAGTGCAAGACAAAAAGTGCTTTTTTTTCCACTGTACTCCAGTGTAACCAGGCAAAGGGGAAATGGGATATGGTCAGATTAATCATCTTTCCCCACTATATGCATCTGCCTCAAATTCCTACACAGTCAGTGTCTTACAAGCCTAAACCTTTTTAGGAACGAGACAAGAAACACTGGAGTACAGGAAAAAAAAGCACTTTTTGTCTTACAGTACATTTTTTTTAAATTGCAGTACGTATAAATCTAGACGGGTTTTGTTTTTGGAACAAATAAACCAGCCTGCTTCTGAAAAAAAAAAGAAAAACGCTAGAGAAAATTAAAAGTGTCTACATAAAATCAAACACTAGCAATACTCAGCTCCCTGTAACGTTGGGGTTGTAGGAAACTCAGGTGGTTTGAATCCGTGCTTACTATCTCCCGACACAAATCCAGGTAGCCTACATACCATATGACCCCATGCTAACGTGCCTACTGTCCGTTCTGCAACAGTTGCAGTAAATATAATTTCATACATTCCTGCGTCTATTTAGAGTAGGAATAGTTTACCTGGACAAGTTAATCCTAATTCCGCTGAACAGCAACGAAGTCGATCTACAGAAATTCATTGCAGGCTTTATCAGACCACTTTCTGCTACACCGCCTGGCCAATGTCACTTAACTCCGAAAACATGCCAGCAAGTGCAGCTGCTATTGGCGAAGGCAACTCTTCCAATCCACATATAGGTTATAGGCACCCGGTGGATTGTGGGAACTGTAGTTCTGTTGCCCAATTTTCAACCTAACAGTTCTAAGGGTAATGGCAATTAGTTTAATTGCAATTGAACGATCCGATTTAGATTGAATACAGAATACTCACCGTAAACGTTTTAACTCCTATTGTATAATAATCATGAAGTCCAGGCGATGTCAAAACGTTTTACATTTGTAGGACCAATTCCTTTTTGCGTTGTCTGTAAAAACAGAAATAATTTAAAAAGTTTGCATGAAACGCTTTTCATTGTTTATATACTGCTCTAAGATTTATGCAGAATACGAAAAACAAAATCCTACAGGACACGGCCGGGTAATGATCGATACTTCTTTAACACGAGCGCAAAGTGAAAGATGTAACCGTCCAATGGGTGATTCGCTTTTCTTTGCAGCCGACTGAATGATAGTACACTACTTGATAACTTGGACATCACTACGATTCTCAAGAGTGAACTTGAGACTGCAGCTGACCCCATTGACGTACTATAAAACGTCCCCGACGAGCTCGTAAAGATGAAATGTTTGTACGGCCCTGGCATGTGCATATCACCTGTCGAACTGCTGAAAATTGGCGGTGTCGGGGCAGCCTCCAGTACACATTTTATATAGGAACAAGTAAGAGGTTTATTCCATGCTGAAAAGAGAAGAGAGAAAACACAACGTTTCGGCTGTAAAGCCTTCTTCAGGTGAGTCTTCTGAAGAAGGCTTCACAGCCGAAACGTTGTGTTTTCTCTCTTCTCTTTTCAGCATGGAATAAACCTCTTACTTGTACCTTTGCAGACTACGCATGCTGACGCAGCTACCCACCTGAACGTGTTATATACTTTGTTTCAAGGGTTTTCCTGACCCGACCAGCTACAAACCTTGAAGACAGCAAGGTTGAATAATAATAATACCCTGAGGGTCAACAACGCACCAAGATAGTCTGAATGCCAGCTCTTGGAATTGGTGGAGCAAATCGATGTTGACATTCTTCATCCCTCAGACCGCGGAAGAAATCAAACTTAAAAATCTACGTCCTACATCCTCAGTGTATTTTGTGATTATATTTTGGTTACTACTAGCATTATGACAACCTATCATGCATAGTCTGCTGGGATACAGGATTTGCTTAAAACATTTTATGGAATGTATGTATTAATTCATTTTTTTTGCTTTTAATGAAAGAATGTGTAAGTTTTCCTTTGACCTAAAGAAATCTGAACCCTCCCTCTGCCTACGTGAGGAGTTTTGTTTAGTAATAAACTACCATATAGAAATTTCTTCTACCCCGGTGGGTATTGAAAGCGCCTGTACCACCTTGGAAACAGTTGCTTAGCAACAGAAGCAGCGCAGAAGATGAGACGGACAGAAAATGCGTCTCTAAGATGCGGTGATGTGGGAGCCATTTTTTTTTATTCTGTCAAAGATTCATGCATGTGATTTCATAAAAAAAAAGTCTCGTAGGTTTTCTTAAGCCTTCTGTGCAACTAGGTCGAATTTATCAAACACTTCATAAATGCTGAACAGGGGGCGTTTCCTTGTAGCAATAACGTTGAATTATTTCCTGCATTTCGGGTTTTAATGTAATAATATAATATGAATGTCCCTCATACTTATTCTTTCAAACATAATGGCTTTGCTAATGGGTGATACGGCAGATAGCGCTGATGCTCTTTGGGTCCTGGGTTTGATTCTCAGCTAGAGAACGTTCAGTGTGGAGTGTGCATGTTCTCTCTTGGTGCTCTAAATCGTCCCTGTGTGTGTGCCGTGAGCCGGACGGGTGTCCTATCCCTGCTGTAGTGCCACTCGAAGCGCCATGCTTCCGGGTAGACTCCGGGGTAACTGCGACCCCTACCGGCAACGAGATGTTAAACAAAAGGGGGGGTTCCTAAGGGAAACATTCTATAAATGAAAAGCTAAAAACAACCAAATAACCCCGCCCTAGAACACAACTGTCGCGAAATAAAAAAAGGCACTTCTAGACTAAATGAACGTGCAAACGTATAATTATTGTGAAGGCATTAACAGTAGAATTAAATTCCAATGCAAGCACCCGGTGTACTCTTCCTCCTTAGTCCCTCCTGCCTTGGCAACAGAAACCAAAGGCATCCTATAGGCTCACTGGCAGCGGCAGTGCCACTGCCATTGGCGAGAATTGCCTTCAATCCAGGCAGGAGGGGGCCGGGATACGGGACTCTATGGCTGAAGAACACAGGGGCGAAGGGAGAGCGGCGATTCAGTCCCGTGTCTTATTATAAAGGATGGGGGATCGCTACACCATGTCCACTGGCGTGCCGGGAGGTGAGCGCTGGTTCAATCTCAGCGCATTGCATCTCCGTGGTAGCAGCGCCGCAACCGCATTCCTGTCAGATCTGGACATGTGAACCGAGTCCAAGATTTAAAAAAAAAAAAACTAAAACAAGGAGAGTGCAGCAGATTCCAATTAAAAGAGATTATTGGATTGGCTGCAACAGATTATAGCTTGTTTCATTCCACTACATAGGATTTGGGAAAGGTGGGCAACATTCCCAGTGTTTTTCAGCCGATCTTCACAGAAAAGGCAAACGAGGTAAGATCTGTTTTTCATTCATTCATTAAATATGCGTTTACTGCTTTGGTGTATTGTATTACAGAAGTGCGTACTCGTTGGAGATACTCTGCAGATCGTATTGCTGCAGCATGAAGGTGTGAAACGGGGATGTCACCTGCCTTCAATTAACGGATCTGATTTTCACTGACATGCACGGGTGTGCGTCTCGGTTTGTTATTTCTACGTCCATTTTGAAAGCTTTTGCGTGCTGTGAATAAACCGAAGTGGGTCTCTGAACACATGAAGTGTGACTTTGGTCCTAAAATCGACCTGTCACGGTTTGAAATCCGTCTGGTCGTTTGCTGCACAGTCAGGCGGAATAACGCCACTGTCTTAGCGGAATGGTCTGTTTTCATGCGCTTCAGAAATCAAGGATTTCACGAGCTGACATATTACCCATTCATGCCAAATAAAAATATTTCAGGATACGGTTATGATTATGATTTTTATGAATTATGATTGTTAAAGAGAGCTGTCGACTTGTTATGCGACCTAGACGCATTTTGGATGTGCGATGTGCTGAATTTGCGACCCTGGATATCGGCATGAAACTAGTTAAATGTGACCCACTTTTTTTAATTATTGTAGGACAAATGCTAATTAACCAGTGCGCTCTTGCTCGATACGGAACAGTCGCGTACATTCATAAGGAGTATTTTAATCGTATTTTAAAAACCCAAAGATGCAGCTGTTACACGTCGCAGCGAGGTCTGAAACATGCATGATCGATTCTGCATATGATGCTTTGATGAAACATACATGTACGCTAACACAGGACTGATATTACGGTCTCAGGCCATCAGCATCAGCAGTGATCGCAGGATGCTGTCGTTGGTATGTATCAGCAGCACCACGGAGAGCTGGGTGCCGTGATAAACACAAATACCCCATCGGGGGGTGTTTATTAATGACCTCTTGACCACCTTGCCCCCTGCAGATATCGTATGTGCTTGGCTGTGCGATGCCACCTCTAATATGACGATTTGAATTCCCGTCGGATCCGTCCGTTTTCGGTGACCGCTTCGCTTTACGGTTGGACAGCCGAGGTCTTTCCGAGCCTAACAAGGCGAGCTCTGGGGTGCAATGCGGACCGTAGAGACCAGAACCCAACACTGTATATTCACATTTAAAATACAATAGAAATACGGGGTCGTATTTTTCTAAAATGTATGACCCAGAACTGCAAAATAACGTTGATCTCCGTAACGCCAACAGTATTCCTCTTGGGGAAACGGAATTTGCACAGACAAGCAGGTCAGGGCAGTGTTTCAGTTGACGGTTTCTATTAACAGAAACGAAGAGACCCGAGCAGAGATCAGCCATCGTGAATATTACGTTAGATTTCGGCATTTTCTCGGTAGGTCGTACTTGTTGAGATGGCTGCATTCTGTTACGTTCGTGAATTCGCCAGGAAAACTTCCCATTATCTGCGGCAGGTCCTGACGATGACAATTTTTTTTTCTTGTTTAAATGTGGGTTCTTGAAAAATTAGAACCCTCTTTGACTTCACATCCCATTGCCAAGACGGAGAACCCCGCATGAGAAACCCGACTTCAGTCGCACAAACTTATAATCTAACGGGAAGAACAGGCAAGCTGATGGCCATACAGCTCAAAATAATTGTAACATGTCCAGCTTGAGCAGGTTCATCATTCTGTACCGCTGTCGGTACCCAGAGGTTGTCTTTTCCAAGTAGGTATGTGCACATCCTAGCATTTCCAGAACAAACCTAAATCAACAGGCAAGTGGCATTTTTTTTAATTAATTAAGGATATTTCCAGTGATCTGGCTCTTCTAAGAGACGTCTCAGCTGCAACACTGACATACAACAGCTGCCTGAAAGATTCCTTCTGTAGAAATGTGTCGCTTCTTAGCACGGCTACACTGTACAAAGCTGAAAATCAAAGCATGTCAGGTGTTGTTTCAGAAAGACTTAGAAAACAAACTGCATTCCATCTTCTTTTACTGACTGGATGGTGTCTTATGTTTCCACGTTTGCCAAACAAGGATTTCCTATTTTATAAGACACGGAGATATACTTATTGAGGCAGACAGTTTATACAATATGCCCTGCAGATTTTCAGAATGCATGTTATACTGCACATAGGAACCTGAATTATTTGACTGCTGTTGCTATTATTCAGGCAGGATATAGAATGGAATTATGCATGGATTTGAACTCTCTCTTTTCAACCAACTCATCTTTCTTGTTGCCTTAATCATATCATAAGATCTACAGTCATGTTCTGTAGAGAGCACCAAAGGCATGGGTTTTTTTTTTCTGTCCGCAAAACTTAAAATATCTGATGGATAAGGGGATTTGGCTTGGATCAGTTGCCTTCAAAAGCCTAATTATTACATGAATAAAACTCCATCCAAGATCTATTCTATAATCCTTTGATATACAAAGTTTGATTTTTTTGGAAATACCACAAATAGTCAAGCCTGTTCTTGACTAATTAAAATATGATGATGGCAGATTACTGGTCTCCATTCACATGCCCAAGTTTCCATGTGTCAGGTGTATAAAAAAGGGTTAAATGGAGAGAGAACTGCAGCCGTTCTGTGCTGTAGCACCCTGAGTCAGTAAGGCTGAGTGATGTCAGTCATTCTCTGGCCTGGATTCGCCTCCTGTACTGTTCTTGATCTCCGAGATGGCTTTGAGGCGGTTTCCCAGCCAGGTCCCCTGTGGTGCACTCAGAAACTGCAGATTGATCACAGTAACCTTCAGTCCATCGCTCTGAACAATTTGAAGGAGGCTGGCTTTCAAATTATAAATATAATACCCAGTGGAGTCTTAATGCACAAACTGAAGGACTGCCAAAAGAGGTTATCAGACTCATGTTTGTTTTGCTTGTCGTGCTTTTTTTTGTTTTTTTGGGCCATAAACAATTCTTCAGCGTCAGCATTATTATTCCCAGACCTGTCTTGAGCTGAGCAGTCCCTTGGCATGGAGACTCCCCTCATACTGTGTGGCTGTGATCATGGTTGGAATTGTAGAACGTGCAGTCGTCTGCGCGGTAGTGACGAATTGGCTTGGCCAGTTGGACCCTAACGTTTGCCTGTAGATCTCATCTACAAGAATTTACCATTCATCCACCATTATTTTCTAACCTCTTCATCCAATTCTGGATCATGGTGGAGACGCAGCCTATGCAGGCAAGCAACGGGAACAACACATCCTGGACAGGATGCCAGTCCATTGCAGGAATTTAACATTCATTAACTGCACTAAAAGGCATCCATCACTGTTGGTTCACATCCTACATTTTGTACAATTTGAGCATAATGATATTTAATCCTTGTGCACTTTCAGGTCAGCGTAATATGATTTTCAATCAGTAGCGTCTGTTCCTAATAGTGCTCTAATGATAAACTGAGATAAACAATAATGAGGTTAGGTCTGTCCCAGAGATCAGTACCTTGCAATTCACATTCACTACCAGTAGCCTCACATCCTGATGTTTTACAGATAACCAAGCATTCTACATTGTGGCAAATCAAAGATACGTGGCAGTCTTAAAGCCAACAGAACTTGCAATTACATCTAATTGCACATGTATATGTCACTGTAGGACAGTCCTAGGGAACAGCATGGTGGGGCAGTGGTGAGCATTGCTGTCTTGCAGCTCTGGGGCCCTGGGTTTGATTCCCAGGATGCAATCTGCATGCAGTTCGTTTTTCTCGTGTTTGCATACATTTCCTCCAGGTGCTCCAGTTTTCCCCCCACAGCCCAAAGACATACCAGTAGGTTAACTGGCTGGGTTTGTCTGCCCTGTGAGGGGCTGGCATCCCATCCAGAGTGTACCCTGCCCTGTGCCCATTGCTTGCCAGGACAGGCTCCGACTCCCCCATGACCCTGAATTGGAAGAAGCAGTTAGAAAATGGATGAATGTTCACTCCTTTGTGAAAAATCAGCTGGTTGTGTCAGTGGGACACTTTAGTATAACACCTTTTTTGAAGTCAGCACAAGACTGCAAGAGAAATTCATGCCATGCACCAACAAGGCCCATGTGCTTTTACTGAATACACAACTAAATCATTTACCCTCAGAGAGCACCAGTAAAATATTGATCCTACTATTGGTTTTCAGTACATTAATTAACCTTAGTGTGCAGAGCAAACCCTTTCTCAGCATGAGCACTTATCTTTAATATGCATCAGCATGGATTCTTTTGTTTCAAGAAATTGGAATAGAAACTTTGCTTCAAAGACTGACCTACCACCATTAGGGAAAATAAAATCTCAAAGTCGAAGTCTGTTTTGCGTTATGAATTACTCTTTCAGCTTGCCTTGCAAGAGCAGTAAGATCTCTTTCATCCCACCCCACTTGCACAAACACTAGCCAAGATAGCACTTAATGGGAAAATCCCTTAATGAGTCAAGGCTGCAGTATTTCAATGGGTTTTTAAATGTAACAATGAGAATCCTCATTATAGCGATCTAGGAGCCAGATTGCTTTTCATGTCAATGTGGATGATGGGACGGGATCGAGCTGTGCTTTGAAACGGTGCCATGGGATATCCTATTTAACATTTAATTGGCAAAAGAGTGCTTTTTATAGCTGGGGGCAACGCATCCCAGGGGACAATCCTGAAACACTCTCTCAACAGGGAATAGGAGCACTTAGATGAAATCTGGTGCACTTCAAAAATGAGCATTCCTCAGAGGATCTTGGTAAACTGTTTGGTACCAATAATCTCGCAGCATGTTCTGTGGAAACAAGGTTCACTAGACAGTCAATATTTATAGTCTAGGGAGGATAGATACAAGAAGCAGTCGGGGGTCAGGGGGATATTTCTGTCCAGGCAGCTCTGAGATCTGACTGTCTCGCTGCACTGCATTAATAACAATGAGCCTAAGGAATCAGACAGGCGATACGAGGAGAGACACAGCCAAAACGGGTAATGAAGAAAATAATTGCTGCAAGCTTGAATGGGTCGGGCCCTAAAAGTTGCTTAAATGTTTTCTCTGTTTTG